TTTACTGTCTCCAGTAAGTTTGCTCCAAAGAATCCATTATGCCCTGATTTGGCCTTGACATTATCATTTTAGTTTTAACAGTAAATATGAAGATGTTTGACCTCAGTAATATCAGTTTTAACTTCACAGTTGTAACTTGGTCCATTCCAGGCAGTCCATCCCCATGTTCTGATGTACTACATCACCATGTTAAAACATGGTGTCCTGACATATTAACATTCAGTATTGCTTTGACTGTTGGATGAGCTGTTGCTTTTTTGACAATATTTACTATATTTTACCTCAATACAAAGTTTTAATTATCTGTACTGTTTTGGTTAGGTTTTTATTTTATGTACGCAATAACTGTATGCTTTAGTTTCAGGTACTTCATTACCATTATTCGTATTTTAGTTTGATATTTGTCGCATGTGGACCAATGTGTGAAAGTCTGTACACAACTGAATACTGAAATACTGAATCATTTATAAAATGTATGTCTTCAGTAGAATCAATGTACAGTTATCTGTTCAAGGCAGTCCAGCCCCAGGTTTTAAGATAACCACATGACTTTGTGGGAACATGGTGTCCTGATTTTCCCACTGATCACTGTGTTTGCATTTAAGATTTTACTATTATATACTGGACAAAATAAGTTAGGGATATTGGTATTTTCATGATTGGTATTTTATCATTGTGTCAGTGAATAAATAGATCATTATTCTTAATTTCAACATTTACATATATCCCTAACTATTTTTGTCCAGTATATTGTCTTGATTATTGGAGGAGTTGTTGCATTTCTTTACAATATTTACTGATATTTGATATTTAGACACAATTTTAAACATATTTATAGGTCCAAGTTTATATAGGTTGTTGTCTATATATTACACATCTACTTACAAAGCGAGCTGCTATGTGAATTTGAAGGTTGTTTGAAATTTGCCACGACTGCATGTAAATGTTTGTGTAATTACGATTACCAAGCTTATTCTCTTTATTACCCATTGCCATGCTTAACACATGAATCTGAAGATACACCGCGGGATCAAGCAGATTACATGTCTCTTACTGTCTGATTCGGAATGAGCTGCTGAAACAGTTAAATAATAGTTGCTATATAACCAAATTTCATAGTAGGAGGACATTTTGCATGTCGTAATATATGCAATTTCAGTCTAATATTGATATTGGCACCTATTTTTAATTTACGTGAAATAAAGACACTATCAGTTTTTAAACATCATTTTAGGCAATTTTCAAACCTTATCTTAATATATTGTCAAATTCTTCTGTCAGATAATGGCCCATGTTCCTGGTATAGTGCATGCAGCTAGCTCTCACAGTGACAGTGTATATATGTGAAGTAATCCTGTACATGTTGGTGTGTTATCATGATGTGGACAAATGGAGGTATTCAGATCATATATAAGTGGAGGTATTCAGATCATATATAAGTGGAGGTATTCAGATCATATATAAGCATTATGCAAACAACAAAACGTGAAGCTGGAGCAGCTTCTTTTTGCAAGGTAGAGTTTTCTAGTCATAATTATCTTTTATATATTTAGTTAAATGTAAATGTTTGTATTTAACCAAATATATATTTTCAAGGCAAAAGATTTTCAATAAATCAAAGTTTTATAAAACCTTGTATTGTGTTGTGTAGTACCTCATTTCCTCCTGACAGATTACCTAGTTGTCCGATGTGCCACAGTTACCTGCTGGGAGCTGGCCACCTCAACAGTCTCAGGATGTGTGTTAAATGCCACTCGCAAATGTCCAATATTTGTCACAGGGGTGGTAGGGTAGCCTTGTGGTTAAAGATTTGCTCGTCTTGCTGAAGACTCAAAGCCCTACATGAGTATAATGTGTAAAGCCCATTTCTGGTGTCCACCTTTGTGATATTGTTCCAAACTGCATATAACCATGCTCAAACTCTCAAATCACTGAAAAGCAGAGTTGAAAGCTGGCAAGAAGTCTGTGTTTTAAGCTGGCCATCCCATCCACACAATAGAAGCAGAATGATGCAAGTGAGATTGTGGAAGGAGGCCTTGAATTGGAATCACCTTGCTCTTACATATGTTGAGACGCCCTTCCAGAGACTGTCACCTCAAGAAACAATCAAATCTATTGTTCAGACAACTACTGTAAGCAACTAAGGGAGATCACTCTAATTTATGGGTTCTTGAGGGCAATACCAGTGACATAGTTTTGATGAGGTGCAATGGTTGATGGCATAATATCCACTCTGGTTTGATCAACAGGGAAAGTTCTATGGATATGCAACTTCCTTATTCTTAATGTAAGCAACATTTCAGCGTAGATACTAACATCGTTATCAAGCAAGTGCTTGATTTGGTTTGTCTGGTTCAGATTTGAACAGATACTGGTCAATGTCACATTGAGGGAATACTGTCTACAACCACACCTTCAGGTACACTGACATGCAATCAGTGACAACCAGGACAAGTTATGAGTAATGGACAGGTGCTTTGACCCAATCATAAAACAGACAGTCACCATGGTCTGGAGGATACAACATCTGCCAATTACCTTGACATCCCCTCTCATTTTATAATTATAATACATATTCTATCCAACAGATCTGGGTAAGAATCAGTCTTCATCAACCCATTCTTATCGTAAGAGGCGACTAACGGGATCGGGTGGTCAGGCTCGCTGACTTGGTTGACATGTCATCATGTGTAGATCGATGCTCATGATGTTGATCACTGGATTGTCTGGTCCAGACTCGATTATTTACAAACCGCCGCCATATAGCTGAAATATTGCCGAGTTCGGCATTAAACAACAAACAAACCACCACAATGGCAAAGGGATTGTGTCTCCAGCAATAGATGCTGCTCAAAAGCTCTTGGTAAGAGAACATTTAATGGACCAGTTAATAGTTCACTGCATGTCATCATACCTCACAGGTGTGAGTAGCAGTTCATAATATCTATGCCTTGTTTTCCAGGTCACAACTCTATATACAGGCAGCTGTTATACATCGGTAAAACTGAAGGGTGGCATTACACACAAACACTGACATACAGCCTCACCAATCTGAATACAAAAGGGGCGGTGGGGTAGCCTAGTGGTTGAAGTGTTCGCTTGTCACACCAAACACCTGGGTTCGATTTCCCACATATGTGAAGCCCATTTCTGGTGTCCCCCACCATGATATTGGTGGAATATTGCTAAAAGCGGCGTAAAACTAAACTCACTCACTGAATACAAAACATACCACGTTTGTGAGAAAATGTGTATTCCTTGTTTTCAATACACCAAGATCAGCAAGTAGAAAGGGGATTATGCAGAACTGTGAATCTTATTGAGAACACATTTACCAACAGGCTGCCTCAAACATACATTGGTGCTCTTGATTATATAACAACACATATAGTGTAGTCCTGAGATGTGCATCCTGATGAAAATTCAACAACAGGAATTTAAAGTCATATATGAAGTATATACAAAACATATAGGACTAAAAATATGTTGGTTTCTGGATATGTTATTTATCAAATCATCGAGACTATTCATAAATTGATAATCAATTTTCATCCCTGACCCATAACAACAGAACACCACACTTTGCGTCAAAATATTTCTCTCAAGTACATACAGATCAAAACAATCGCCATACACGTCCCTTCTTTTCATGAAACCTGCCATATAGCTGGAATATTGCTAAGTGCGGAATAAAACAACGAACCAAACCAAATCGTCTCTTGAAATACATCATATGCTCAGTCGAAAGGTTCATGAATTTATTTGGTGAATAATGTCCATCAATCGTTAATGAACACAGATTCCTTGAACAGCTTATTTTTAGAACAATCTACCTAATTTAGTTTATCCACAGGATAACTTAAAACACTGTATGGCAACAGGGCTCTCTCCCCACAAATTCAAGTGCCTCACACTTTAAATGTCATGGCAGGCTGGCTGTCGTCCATTGTAAACTCCTGCAGTCAACATGTCAACTGAAACTACAATGCCCATGGAGTGAAACTCGACGTGATCGATCCCATCATCACAAAGGTCCACCAAAAGTCATGTGGCTGAATTCTTCTGAAAATCTAATACATGTACACCTAATTTACCTTATCCACAGGATAACGTAAAACACTGTATGGCAACAGGGCTGTTATATCCTTAGATGTAAGATTACATGAACATGTCATGAACAGTCTAAAAATTACAACTGTCGTGGGAATACTGCCAAGAGCAGTAAATATTACCAGCAGAACAAAACTACATGCATTCTGAAAAACACAAAATCTCGAACAACTTTATCATAGAGTTACACGTCAATCCAAGATTAAATTTGTATCTTGTTTATACATTACCTGGTTCAATATGCCATGTTGCAGAAGGCAAAATGAAAAAGTATATATTGTTCAAGTACTAAAAAGAATTCCTGAAATAAAAGTTATCAATAACAAAAACGATATATATATATGTATGTTTGTTCATTCAAACAGCATTATTTTTCAGTTCAGAAAGGTCCCTTCTTAAAACAGATGGTCTAATAGACAGAGTGCCTGTCCAGAAAGCAGAAGGTCAGAGGTTTGAATCCCTGACTTCTATGAAATGTTATGAAGAAATTACAGTTAAGAGATAAAACAAGACCTGATTGAGAAGCACACTTTACTATCTGCTGATGCGACACACAACCTCATTCAACCTCAACCTAAACTGTACATACAAAGGTTATTAGTGTGCACTAAAATGTAGGTAGTTTCATTAGGCCAGACCAATTTTATTTCTTGTTTTATGGATTTTTGTCCTCAGAAAACATAAAGGCAGGAGGGAAAAAAAATAAAAATAAAATCACCAGTCAAAGTAATATTCCTTTTAAATACTAAAAGTATTTACTTTTGGCATTTATGAAGTATATATGGGGCAAAAAACAATATAAAAACATTTTCTTGCACATTTACATTTTTGGACAATAAAAATATTAAAAGTTTATTTTTTGAGCGGGGAAAATTAACATATTTTTTTTATTATTCTTGAAAAAATACGACTGGCAGATCCGTAAAACAAGAAATAAAATTGGTCTGGCCTTATGAACATTATTTCCTCACAAGCCCAGCATCTTCTTGGTTACAATTTCAATGGACCACAGAAACACATTTCCACTATCTAACGTACGTCATGAAGAATACTGCTGTAATAGAAATATGTAATGCAACACATTAACGTCAATGTGGACTTCATGTGTTTTTCAAAGTCATCAGTAATTCTAGCCATCTTTGTCTTAGCATTATAATAGTATTACTATTGACATTTCAAGTTTCATTGAAAATCTTGCATTTTGATACTACTACTCCAATTTTGACAGGGATAAATCAGACATGTCATTATATTAACAAATACACTCCATATATTATGGTACCACTTTTGTGTATAATGGAAAGATAAAACAAATCCCTGTCAGAAGGGGAGTTACTAAGTGCAAATGAATCCATCCTTTAATGGATCTGATAAACCACAACTGTGTCAGTGCTATATCACAGAATATCAGTGTACAATAAATTTCACAATTCAAACACGCGAGCCAGCCATTATAATGCATGAGCTCAGAGGAAGCAATTCAAAACATTCTGTTTCCGATAAATAAATCTAATCTTGCAAGTTTGATTTGGGGTTTCCATCGATGAAATAGCCATTGAGGGATCAACCCCTTACAATTCAAAGCAGTAATCAGAGCTCTAATTAAAAAGAATATGCTTGAAAAGGAAGTCAAAATGACATCCTCACAAGCTCAGCTTTCCCAGCTGTATTAGTCATTGTGAAGAAAGATTCACTTTTTTCATCGCTTACATTTTTACAATTGGAATTTAGGGAAGTCAGGTGTAAATCCTACATAAAACTTTCAAACTGCTTCAAAACTGTCATATCAATATATTAGACAAAACATGGCAACAGAATATCAATATATGTTTATTGTAAAAACTCTGGTGTATATTGTCAAACATGAGATTCTTAACAGACAAACTGAATGTATTTTCAATGGCACCAACAACTAAAACAAATGGAGGGATAAATATTCCATGATCCATTCTGACCATGCCAGCTGAATAATGCCTGTACCAGCACCAGAAATAGCGCTACCTCATCAAAGTGGTGGACAAGACTTTACCAGTGATGCCAGCTGTTTCTACTCCTGTCTCAACAGTCTCAGCAATAGCCAGACTGGATTAACAAGATTGATAAAACGCACATGGTGAAGCCAAGGAGGAAACAGATGATGAAGAGAAATTAAGGGAATATGTGACAATTTATTCCATTCCTTTGGAAATGTTTCATCTGTATGGATATATATTACTTTTCTCATATGCATTGGCATTGGCTAGTGGTATGCTCGCAAAATGGAATATCCCCTACTTTTTTTAAATGGTATATTATAAGCACTTCATATACGAAATCTACTCCATAACTTAGGTGAGGATCCACGAGGTTACAGTCATTATGGCCCCAGCTTACTGATTATTTGTCAGTCTGATAGATCCACTTCCTAATTCCTGAATCAGCATTTTGTGTAAACTGTTATTGAACAAATGTGGAAAATAAAACTTTCATTGCTGGAATATTCAAGTTCTAATGCTTGGTTTTCAAAAATGTCCCTAAAATAGCTGAATTTCTAACATGGATTTTTCCAATATGGATATAGACATTGAAGAAATCTGTACAGTCTATATCACAAAATATGGATCTTTAAATATTGTTGAGGACCCCAAAAGATTAATGCCCCCTGTTTTGTCATTGAGTACACCCAGTGTATCAAAATTTTGACCAAAGTTTTGTTTCTCAGGTGATGTCCATATCCTCATCTCTCAAAGCTGATTTCGTGTACTGGGGTACTTTGATTGTATGACTGTTTTCGCAATTGTGACACTCTAAACAAATTCAAAATATAGCTCCATGAGTGCTTGGATCCAGGGTAATCAAGAATGCATATCTATAACACAGCATCCTTCTTATGTTTATAATACTGCTTGCACTCGTGATTCAAAAACATCCAACCAGATTCTTGCCTGTAAAATATAATACTGTGATATGTACACTGGCAACTAACAGTCGCTAATATTATCCTGAGACTTGGTCAGAAAAGTAGCCCAGCCATTTCTTCGTTGTTTCATAGGCAAGGAAGAGAGCGCCGGTAGCAGGGAAGGTTCTCACAATGGTCGGACCCAATCCCTATACAGTGCCAACACTCCTGGAATACATGGGGAAAGAGGTGCACGTCATTCTGTGATTCATGGTAGCAAAATTATTTCAAATCTTCAGATTCTTTAACCACTTAACAACCAAATATTGGAGACCGCCTCCGTGGTGTAGTGGTTAGAGCGTCCGCCCGGAGAGCGGAAAGTCGCAGGTTCGATCCCCGACTGCGTCATACCAAAAGAAATTAAAATATGGTACTTGTTGGTCCCTGCCTGGCGCTCGGCATTAATGGGTACAACAAGGACTGGTCGGCTCGGAGTCAGTATAATGTGCCTGAGTGGGGTATTCATGCTTCACTGCGGCATGGTTTCTCAGCAGGCTAGCACTATAAAACCAGCTTAAGTCTGGGCTAGTACAAGCAGCCGCACATACACATACACACGCATGCACGTCGTCATATGAGTGAAATATTCTGAAGCACGACGTTAAACCCAATTTCACCTCACCTCACCTCACCTCACCAAATATTAGCTAAATCTGAATTACACATAGTACATACAAAATGCAGTTTTGACTAATTCTTGCCATCATTCATTGCAGGAATATTTATTATACTTTCCTGTATTCCATTTATTTTTTATATTCCCCAGAATCATAAATCAATAAAATTCAAAATTTTCCTTTTACTTCCATACACATGTCCATCACACCGTATCATAATATTTAATTTGATATCTTAATATAATGGTCAGGTAATTGAGCAGGAATTGGAGCAGCCATTATCAGTATAATCTTTTGTATTCACAAATAATAGAGAATTTACACATGCACATGGAAATGATTTTGAATTAAGTGTGCGTTTATGTCATAACAACCTCGTCTGAATAGGAAATTTGGAAAATATACTCACTCACTCACTATAAATAATCGTGTCTGGACCAGACAAATCCAGTGAGTCCATCACGAGAAATGAGTGAGTGAGTGAGTGAGTTTAGTTTTACGCTGCACTCAGCTATATTCCAGCTATATGGCAATGGTCTGTAAATAATCAAGTCTGGACCAGACAATCCAGTGATCAACAGCATGAGCATCGATCTGCGCAAATGGGAACTGATGACATGTGTCAACCAAGTCAGCGCGTCTGACCACCCGATCCCGTTAGTCGCCTCTTACGACAAGCATAGTCACCTTTTGTGGCAAGCATGGGTGACATGCATCAACCAAGTTGATGAATCTGACTGCCTGATCCCTTCAGTCGCCTCTGATGAAAAACATGGGTTGCTGAAACCCAAGGTTAACCACAAGTTTCACGAGTCCACTAAATGTGTCTTTGAGACCGATATTAAAACAACTGTATATGAATGAAGGGCAACAGGAAACAGTTAAGTTTGGATCCATCTCACCATACCACAACTTGTCTCACATTGTGTCCAGTACAAAAGTAACTGAATGGACTGGAACCAACAGCATTTCCAAAAGCAAAGTATGTCCGTTTGGGAAAAAGTAAGCACCTATTGTCTAACATCAGATCCATGAACTTTGCTGAGTGTACCCAACACAAACAAGCGTACCTTCTTCTCTGAAGATCTTGAGTACCGTTGCTATAAAGGTGGGTGTCGCAGACCCTGCCACACACTGTACTTGAATGCGGGATTTGACAACATCAGCGGGGAAGATGGCCGTCCACAGTGCCACCCCACCAACACCACCACACACAATCGTCCTCCAGGCTCCTGAAATACCAGGAATGAGTGAATGGGATGTTTAGTGATTTGGGTTTTAGGCTATGCATGACAGTAATTCAGAGCAAAGTCCCAACATGGCACAAGTCAGCAATTACGACTTTGGTGAAACCATCCAACAGGTAAGGTAAATTTAGGCATGGAACCCATTCAGACAGTTGATATTGTCTGAATACATGTATCTATCCCCACTGTTTGCATATGGCTTCCAGGTCTCACCTATGATTCTTGGTTATAACACTGTCAACACCTGCCTGAACAAAACATATGATAAAAGTGTCCGACATCAAGCAAACAATCATGGCCTCATATTATGTGACCTTGAACAAGTTGGCCGAATGCTAAATGACCCTGACCTCATAAGTGACATTGAACTCTTAGTATTTGGACTTGACCTTGAATAAACTGAACTTGACCCTACACTAAGAAACTTTGAATTACTTACCTATTTCATCTTTTGTTTTCCCTGCTGGTGTGAGGAGGTGGCGACAAATTTCGTAACCCCCAAAGAAGAAGAAATATCCTGGCATTTCCCTCATGAAGGTGCTGGTGAGCCCTTTGAAGAGACCCCGGAAACCCTCTTGCTGGAGGATCTCCTTGGTCAGACCCCAGGGACCTCTGAGTTGGAGAGATCTTGTTATAGCTCATACTGACAGTGGTTAACGTGATATAGTGAGTGAGTTTAGTTTTACGCCGCTTTTAGCAATATTGAGCAATATCACGTTGGGGGACACCAGAAATGGACTTCACACATTGTATCCATGTGGGGACTCGAACCAGGGTCTTTGGCGTAATGAACAAACGCTTTAACCACTGCGCTACCCCACCACCCCTATCGTGACATAGAAAATATTATACAATATTATAAGTGCCTATTACAGTATGCATTGATTTTCAAGATGTAAGTACTGATAGAAATACCTCATTTATTGTAATATGAACACACCAAGCCATTTGAAGAGATATTTAGTAAACAGGAATAAAAATATTTTATTGACTATTAATTGTTTGAAACATACTACAAGTATATTATGGTTGTTCTAATTTCATTACATTTACATTTTGAGTCTCTCCAGCTGTTTACTGTTAAGCATCAGCTAGATATATGTCCTTACATTTTGAGTCTCTCCAGCCCTCCTTCCAGCTGGCCTTGTGTGGCCATCTCCCTCATGGCCTGCAGACGACACTTGACCAGCTCTGTTGGGCACAGCGTGAATGACGAGAAAAATGCAGCACCACTTCCTGCCAGGGCATTCTGCAGGGGCGTCAGCTTGTCTACACTTGGCACAGAAATCACCTTCGCCACCATCTTCTGGCAGATGCCATAAAACAGGAACAGGACCGAGTTCTCTGAGATCTGAGCAGCGAGGGACGGGATGGTGCCTGCATACAGACCTCGTACAATGCCATCTTGTTTGAATGTTTGTAAAGTACAGTCCATGGCATTAGTGTAGAGAGTAGGAAATGTCTGCATCTTCACCTTGACGGTGTCCAGCGGCTGACCCACGTACACAGAGGCAGTGCCACCTGCAGAATTACAACATTAAAGGTAATGAAACTCTTTCACTCACACCTTTAGTATGGTGATCAGGGGGCTGATCTTGTTCCTGTTATTGAAGTACAGTGTCCAGCTAACAAAAGTCGTTTGGAGCTCTACTCCACACAACCTACACAGAGTGAATGCTAGGAACATCCAAGAATGAAGTTTCATAATCTAACTATTACTGAGAACTTCTGAGATGACGTACCAAACACAATCTGCATATTCCATCCAGACTTAGGAACATTCTGGATTCTAATTGGATAGTCAGAGGTTTTCAATCACAACTACATGCCTGTGATTTGACAGCTACATGCTGAAGCAAGTGCTTGTTTTCAGACAACTTAATTTGCTCCAAAATATATGTAGCATCATCTCTGCTGGTTTTTGGCTTGGTTTGTCTGTTTGTCTGTTGTTTTACGCTGCACTAAGCAATATCCCACTTTATGGTGGAAATAATTGAGTCTGGACCAGACAATCCAGTGATCAACAGCATGAGCATCGATCTATGCAACCGGATACAATGACATGTATCAACCAAGTCAGCAATTCTGACCACCCGACCCCGTTAGTCACCCCTTACGACAAGCATGGGTTCCTGAAGACCAATTCACTGGTATCTCTGCAGGTAGTATCAGCTCTACAGTCAGCCAGTCAACATGAAGCCATTATAATACTTCAACAATCAGACAGTAGCCAATGCGCTCTAAGGTATATAATATTTATCAACTGTGAGCAAGAAGTTCAAGTTAGACAAATAGTTGAGTACATGCAACCTAACGGGAACTTCAAGGTCAAGGTTAGTAAATAATTTCCACGCTGGTACGTGAAGTGTCATTTTCATCTGTTTGAACACCTATGCACATGATAATGAATACCTTGGCAGGTGCATTGTAAGATAGGTGATTCACAGATATGCACACCTGTGACTAACAATAGAGCTGGTGAGTAAAACTGATTATGTTTCCAATATGAATGCATCATTTCAGCTGCATACATTTGTTAGGGATGAACAGCTTTCATTCACAAGGGATAGTCCTTTTGGAGTATTTACTGCTAAGAGCTATATATGTTTTACACTAAAGACACTTTTTATCATCGTTTACAAACTGAAATGGTGAAAGAATGATCTTAGATGACAAACATTACAAGTAGAATCTCTAATGTCTAATCTCTGAGTGAGTCAGCGAGTTTAATTTTACGCCGCTTTTAGCAATATTCCAGCAATATCACAGTGGGGGACACCAGAAATGGGCTTCACACATTGTACCCATGTGGGGAATCGAAACCCGTGTCTTCTGTGTGACGAGCAAACGCTTTAACCACTAGGCTACCTAAAGTCATCTGAAATAAAATATTATTACTCATAGTGATATATTTGATATTTAAAAAATTTAGGTTGAAATTCTCCACCTATCACTAATTGTCATCTTATGAAGAAAATACAAAGGAAAAACTTGAAAAATCAATCCTTCAGAGAAACCTTACTGAAATAAGGTTACGTAAAGTTGTCTGCTTATGACATCATAAACAATGTAGCATGTTGTATGTTCACAACAACATCTATCAAGTCAGATGATGAATCAGCATGGTAAATCCCTAAACTGAGTATTAAAGTTATTAAATTGCCTGTTATCTTCACGTGCAACACTAGCTTGTGACGTACCCACCTGCTACACCCCCCATGAAGTCGATGAAGGCATCTGTGGCTGTGCTCCTGTTCTTCTGACCAGCCTCCGTCTCCACGAGCTCCAGTGGGGGCTCCATAGTGCTTCTGTAAGGGAGTTCAACACTGTCACTGTATTCCAGGTTCACCAGAAGTCACCCTGACAGGCAGTTCAGGATATAATACTCAATGCCTTAAGTCCCCTCAGAAAATTGTAACGCTGAAACTGCTAGCATCTTCAAAGACATTTGTAAGCAATGTCCTACTGTGCAATGATTAATAAAATTGTTGGTGGCAGTTTAGAAGCGTGACAATCTGAAAGTTATTTCACAAACACAAATTTTCATACAAATTTTCATACCTCTTCATTCCCATTGTAGTATGACTTTGTTACAACCCACAGGAGATTACAAAGGATCACAACTAGATTGAAGCTTATATTCTAGCCCATGATCAGCAGATCCTGGAATCTAGGGGCCATAACTCTGCCCAGCTAATTAACAATCTGAGTCATGTAACATCTGCTTACATTCACTTTTAAAATCATGTTGAAAATTCCCCTATAAACATTATAAAACTGTTTGAACATCATATATATATATCAACCACAGGAATCTGCCGAGATATCTGTACTGTAATTCAGAATGTATGGTAAAATCCCATCAAATCCCACATAACAGTGTGGTTTGTAATTCAGGATCCCTTGATTTGTGGAACACATGAAAAACTCTTCATGCTGAAAACTAAAATACTGTATTATAAAATACCATTTCCTAACTGTTCCAACATGTGAATGAATCCATAAAAACTTATCACCCTTTATTGTCAGTGGAAAATCAGTTTCTATCATCTACAGATTTGTTGATAAGTCATGGGCAATGAACAGGCTTTCACTTGTCACGTTCAATGATTCGATGTCTTTGTAAACACAATGTATATCACTGGCCCCTGTATCGTCTTCTTATCAAAATGTTCTCAAGATCAGGGGTAAATAGAGTACAACCAACTCATATTAGCTGAAAGTGTTTTGTTATAATATCTATCACAATTAGGATAAATTGTACCATTCCAGCATTTGTCAAGCACAATACATATTTTTTCCCCTCCTATCTGATATTTACTATATAGAAAAATATTAGGGTAATAATCATTTTATTATCTGAAAAAATTCCTAAAAAAACATCATAATTCAGATATGTCTTTGCTTTGAAAAGTCTTACAAAACTGTGCATGGATGTATGGTCGGTGTGAACCACTCCATTACTCATACACAGTGTTGTCCGCGATCAAGTGTAGTGCAATTGGTGAAGCAAGGCGTGTGCAGCTACTCGTGAAATCAATTTCATTGTCAAGCAATGGTCGTGCACTTGCCTACATCGCTCTACCTTTCACAAACCAAATGGGTTTGCTCATTGCCGGGCACCGCCTACTTCTCGTAAACGCGTTCTCTGCGCCGTTATCCTTGTTTGCCAGTAACACCATCCAGCAAGCCCTAGACTGGTTCAAATTTCCTAGTTTGATTGCATAACGAGGATAATTTACCGTTACCCATTTTAGTAAAGCTTTAGAGATTAAGTCCACCCTGATAAGGTGTGAAATCATGACGGTCTACAAATTAGAAAACAATTTTTAAAATCTGTATGGGACATTAGTAAATAGTTTAATGAGCAATCAGACACTGGGTGGAGACTAAAAGTATGCAGTTCCTGTCGGTGTCCACATATTTACTTTATTACGATACCAAGTTTATTGGACTGGTTTATCAAATTACCAATAAATATTAAAAGTCCTCCAAATAAAACTCAGCTAGCCACCTAAATATCATACAGCATTAAAACAATGGAGGTTGTGTTCCCTCAACAATTTGATGACAGTACTTGAATAAACCTTAGTCATAAATCTAACACTTGTCATGTGTCTTGCCACTTGACCTTTCAAACAGTCATAAGTGCATTTAGCTGGACAGTCTGTTGTGATGAAGTAAAGCACATAAAACTTTAAGGACTAATAACATTTTGTGTGGAAACAATGTTTATCATCCAAAGCTGTGTTCCACAGTAGATATCGCTTGTGTGAGATCAGACGATATCTCCTAGGAGATATCGTTTTGACCGTAGATTTTGTACAATGCCCTGACAATGCTATGACGTCATGAACTTGTTGACGTCACAATGTTATGACACCTCTGCACTGCAAATCTAATGGCAGTACTGTAGTAGTAGACAGAGTGGGGCTTTTGGACCAAGGTAGCTAAAGCTTTATTACATAGATAAAGCTTTAGTCGGATACCTTATTTTTACTGTTATTACCTATACAGAAAGCCTCATTTCCTAAATAATGCTTTAGTTGGATCAAGCTATGAAAGTGTTTATTTGATCTATGTCGTGTTGACGGGAGGTAATACTGTGTCATACGGTACGATCAATAATTCTTCTCTCACAAACCCCCTCCCTGGCCCATCCATCAAGTAGTATATCATCTGATTTCATCTATATCCATATGCCTCTATGACACTATGTCACATTGACCTCAACGAAACAGTTTAACGTGAATCGCCTAGGATCTCTTTGGTGTTGGTAATAAAGGCTTGCTGGGCCTTTTTCACCCCTTGTTCTATGTACTTTTTTTTCTCGTCCTCACTGATAGCAGCAGACTTACGAGACTTGGATCGAATCTCTTGTTTCATTTTGTTATATTTTGTGAGTTCGGATAGGATCAAACGAAACTCCTCCTCTGAGATTTTGTTGTCAGTGAGTGCCGCTGAAATACGGTCGCTACTGTGTTCAGCTTTGCTTCAGCTAGAATTCTAATTTCATCATGCTTCAATGCCTTACGATGCAGTCTGTTGATGTGTATTTAAGTATCAACCCTAACACTCCTGTCACTCCAGCCGTTATTTCGAGTCCCATCACTATAGGTACAGCCACGATGGTGGTTAATAACCCAACACCTGTCACCCCTAGACCCATGCTGGTTGTCATAAGGGCAGTGTCAGCCCCGTCCCACGGCATTGAAAACTCTATGGTATTTCTTATATAATGCTTTACGCTTTGTCGCGGTCTTGTTCTAGTTGGCGCCTTACATCGCATAATTGTCTCAAAGCGGAACCCGCCTACGGTTTCCAGGGTCTTCGCTACTTCATCTATGCCTGGATACAATCCCATCCTATAATATATATTACTTAAAGATATTTTAATTGGGTTTCATTTAACCTTCGATCAACGTACTTGAGACTTATAAGGTGTGAATCCTCATGTAGGAGAATAGTGGAGAAGTTAATAGGTAACTTTGCATCCACACTATCCCCCTCGGAGGGGATTATTGAGGGGGTTATAGAACCCGTTGAGGGGTCCGGTTGTATGACGATGGTGCGGTAACGTTTACTATAGTTCTGGGGATTCCAATGTACTGTCACCCCGGGTACAAGTTGTTGGTCTAGATTATTATTATTAACTCTATCGAGATAGACTTCTATTATGAGTGTGGAGCCTGGTGACACAACTGGAATATTCCGTCGGGTTCTGTAGCATTTATACTGTAACTCACCCCCTCGGAATGATAGTAACATATTAGGTAAACCCGGGTTTAGTACAATCTTTGTATTAGGTCCCGGAACGAAACACCCGAGCGCGGTACCGCTATTCTTAATTTCATAGATATACCCATCTTCTTTTGATGTGATATAAGGTGAGGCGAGTGTTAAGTTGACTATCCATTTGGGCTCTTTAAAATCTGATAACGACACCCGCCTATACACGTTGTCTTTGAAGTGCAGGACGTACAAGGTGTCTTCCTCACCAGGTTGATCGAATCCCTCCGTGTCCCCAAGGTCGTTAATCGTAGTGTTGGGTCGAAGCCAAGACATTGCTATAATACTATTACAATATAATTTCCAACTGGTTTTCTGATAATAGTTCAGGGGTGCACTTCACCCCCATGAAGTGTATGTTGTCGGGTAGGAAGATCTTGGTTAGTGATATAGTGTCTTCCACGATCACGTTGACTCCCTGCAGACTGGTTTTGAGTCGACACCCACCCGCACGTAAACGTTGCAAACGTGATACTGTTGTTGTTTCCCCACCGGAGTTTGACCCCTTCACGATCTCTACATCATCCCGCGATGGTTCCCTAGGTAGACTTGGATGATAAGTGTTGAGTTCGCCGGTAGACTCTCCAGGATCCTGACCACACCTTCGAATTCAGACACCAACTGCAATACCACGCTTTGCATCCCCGCTTTACTCGATAGCATGTGGGCTGCCATACTGGCGAGTGGGCTGATGACTACGCCACGCCTCTGAGTCGGGATGTAAGCCACGAGCAGGGTTCCGTTGTTCACTCTTACTTTGTTTAGGTGGTTGTCTTTATTATCCGTGAACACGTAGGGGAGCCGAGCCTAATATTGAGAAACCAGTCGACTTTACCCGGTAATAACACCCACTTGTCATCATCGGTGAAGACGAAGCGATATGGTTTGTTTCAGGCGACGGTAGTGCTCTCAACATCGGTTAAGTCGAACAGTTTGCCCCCTAACGATGGGTATATCATCCAGGTATCACCGGTGTTGACAAGGGTGTACTTAGTGTTGATTGCCGCTCTTGAGGTATCTACTATATCGCTTTAGGTTGCTAGTACCACCGAGGGGACTTCAACGCTTTGTAAATGCTGTTTTTAAGTTGTAAGGCGACACTTTACCATCTACCCGGGTCGTCGAATCCAAGGTGGTGTCCCCGGATCGGAGATCCCCACATTGATGCATTTTTTCAACTTCATTCCGGACCTTGTGCCCTGGTCATTTTATGTGCAGCGTTACGCTGAGGTATCCTATATTCACGAAGATTATGATTTATATCTAACACCGATATTATCAGCTCAGGGATGTTGCCCTGGGTTAACCTCTTATACTGCGCGCGTGAAAATCGACTTCGGTTCTGCCGCCGCTGTATTTCTCCGCTTTCACCGGTACGCTCTCAGTATAGTGGAAGGGTGACCCCTTGAATGTTGTCCGTTGTGCTAACCTGGCTGAGATGAATGCACAGCCTCGCACGGTACTAGGTCGGTAACTTCGTGCCTGTGGCGGTAGTCGCTATTTTATCTCTTCAGGCTGTATACCGAAAGTGTCCTCGCCAGTGGTCGCGATCGAGCCCTCAAGGAGTTTCTTCCGTTGTTGATTAACACCACTGTACCGCTTTGAGTCGCTCATCTTGAGTTCGCCCCAATGGTTTGAATACCTCGCCGCCTAGAGAGCACACGCTGTAGTAACCATCAATTATCTTGTTGCTAGCCACCCTACTGCAACAGTTTATTGTTGCTAGCGCTGATGTTAGTCCATCGGTAGGTAGGTTATATCGCGACAGTGCTATTTCTCGAAAGTTGACCGGCGTGTTATCGATCGCGTATGCCAGCTGAACGGCCTCGCCGCTTAGCTATTCCTGGAGTGTTATGTACATGTTATATAAACTCATTATATAATAGTTTTAAAACATGAAGATCGGGTCGCTGATGGATTGTATTTCGAATTTCCAGTTCATAGATGTGTTCGATAAGTATAAGTTTTCGGTGACTAACGCTAAGACAGTGCACGCTTTGGTTCAACAACCCGATGCAGTTCTGGCAGAATCAACTCAACTTCGCCGTGGTGGTGCGCCACAACGGGTGTGGTGTATCCGGACACTCAGGCGGACCGCTGAGTCAGTCTGTGTTCACGCTTCACGGTACTACCAGGTCAGGCGTATCCTCAAAGAGATCAGCCCCACTCCCACAAGAAAAAGGCGGAATGCAGTAAACAACCAATACGATAGACGGGCCTACTTAACGATTTGCAAATCTAATTCGAATCGACACTAAAACGGATTGGCGCTGCCGGACCGAACCACGGATTGGGTATTCCTATCGCTTCATTAACATGCCTCGCGGAAGCCAGCAAGAAGCTGCAAGATTAGGGATACAAGTCGTATCATCATATCACCTAAACTAACGAGTGGGGATGACCGCTACATGGCATTCGAATTTTACAGCAAGGGATTACCGAGTTTGGAGGTTCGAGCAGGGTGGTGACTGGGAAAAATTCATGTTGGAATCGAAGGGTATACTGCGTACGGCACCAACGCTTTGAATGACTCGATTCGAACGCATCGCGGTGGGCACTGTTGCGCGCAGACGCAAACGCTGCTCCAATATCCTAGGCAAAGGGACCGCTTAATGCACGCCATTGCAGAAACAATTCGCTGTCAACGAGAGGATGCTATCAATGCTCCAGTTGATCTCCGAGTGCCATCAAACGCTACCAAGACGTGTTGGAATATGCCAGGTCGAAAGTCCACTACGCGTTCGGACGCGGGACTGTACATGGCTCCGAAAGTGATATGCAACTGAGAGTAAAAGTGGTGGGCTACAACAACGAAATAGTTATAGCCACGGGCGGTCAAAAGTTAAGCGCCAACCTCGATGTCAACGCCCCCACGCCCCACCACCCACTCAACCGTGAAACGGTATAGTGGCACCACCCCCGAGCCTAGGGTTCAACACACACCTACAGCCCCAGTCTGCAGCCTCCAATCAGCAGCACATCGACCGTGAAACAGCCATGGTGGTTGGTGGGGTAGCTTTGGGGCTCATTTGGTTAAAAATTCCTTAGCCGCCACGCATACACCAGACCCACGCCGACGCTTAATTTATGGCTGCCCACAGGTTTTGACTAAGCCACGGCAGTTTTAGCCAGAGCTTCAGCGCAACCACGACGATGCGAGGGAGATGGCAACTCCGGGAAAACGATCGACTGAATGGGTTGAACGGCTCCCTAAGGTGGTGTCTGCCATAAACCATGAAATCATTGACGACTCACCGGGTAAGAAGCCGCAGACGCTATCAAATTAAAATCAATAGTTGCAGAGTCAGATTGCGCGGGAAAGTTACCAGACATCAAAGCCGGGGTACACGAACCCTCCTATATGGTCAGTCTTGATACTACTTGATGGATGGGCCAGGGAGGGGTTTGTGAGAGAAGAATTATTGATCGTACCGTATGACACAGTATTACCTCCCGTCAACACGACATAGATCAAATAAACACTTTCATAGCTTGATCCAACTAAAGCATTATTTAGGAAATGAGGCTTTCTGTATAGGTAATAACAGTAAAAATAAGGTATCCGACTAAAGCTTTATCTATGTAATAAAGCTTTAGCTACCTTGGTCCAAAAGCCCCACTCTGTCTACTACTACTGTGTTCAGAGATGTACATTTTTCATTGAAAACTAATGAAGAGTGATTTTGGATGATAAATAGAATCTCACCCTCGTGTCTTCTGATATCAAATATATCAACACTCGTTGATAAAAGTAAAAATATCCTCGGCAAGCCTCGTATATTTGTTACTTTATCAACTCGTGGTGATATATTTGATATCAAAAGACACTCGGGTGAGATTCTCTATTTCACAGCTACTTCTGGTCTCTACATGATCTGAATCTCCAGGTCTACTGGTGTGATAGGCTATCAAACCACTCACCTTCCACCCTTGGGGCTGGGTCTCTCCACTTCTCCAAGCAGGCAAGAAGATGCACTGAAAAGTCAATACTGTTATGTAGTATACTCAGGTGAACACTATACTCAAGAAAATGCTGTAATCTGATGAAGGGGAGTGAAGTACTGCTCAAATGTTATTATCAACAATAATTAGGACTTTATGGTATCACCAGTACATAGGTGTACTGCAATATGTTTCTGCAACAGTAGTTCCTTGATATTTCATCTCTGTTCTGCTCTATTAGAAACAAAATATATATGGTTTCATTACTATTTGTATTGTTTAACCAAATTTCATTCACAAATGATGTTTCCCTTCAAAATTGACTGATGAAGTGGTGGAACCCAAGGAAGTGATTTTCTTTGCATGGCACCAACTGACAATCCAGACTTTGACATCATAATATTCACTTCTTATGTAGATAATAGGATTTGCATATGTACAATCAGTGTCGTTCACTATCAAACACTTAAGCTCCAAATATATCAGTCAATCAATCTTATCTCAGTACTTAAAAATGTGCAAAAATCTAATATGCAAACTAGGGTGCAATCTAGTGTGCGATCCTGTGTCGCTGATTGTTGGACACTTCAAAGGTCTGGGCGAGAATGACACTGTAAACAAATATTCTCAAAAGACTGTAGTAAAAACATAAAATTCATATTCTGGAACATTTCAGGTATTACTCAGAAACTTCATGACAAGGACTTTGTTAACTTTATCAAATCATTTGATGTCATTGGTTTAACAGAGACTTGGAGTAATGATCATTGTGCAAATGATGTATTTACAGATTTTGACTGTTTGAATAAAGATAGAGATAAGATAGCCACAACTGTGTAGAGATCTGGAAAATGGTATAACTGTATTATTTGTAGGAAAATCACTAACTATAAATATCAATCTTTATATATAGCTGTGTACATATATGCAATTTTATCTTCTTGGTATGAGAAGTGGACTGTAAATATACATCGAGAGGATCTTTGTTCCATGGCTATGTATATGATATCTCCTAAGATATCGTTTTGACAGCAGATTTTGTACAATGCCCTGACAATGCTATGACGTCATGTACTTGATGATGTCACAATGCTATGACATCACCGCACTGCAAGTCTATTGGCAGTACTGTGTTCAGATATGTACATTTTTAATTGAAAACTAATGAAGAGTGATTTGGGATGATAAATAGAATCTCACCCTCGTATCTTCTGATATCAAATATATCAACACTCGTTGATAAAAGTTAAAATATCCTCGGCAAGCCTCGGATATTTGTAACTTTATCAACTCGTGTTGATATAATTGATATCAGAAGACACTTGAGTGAGATTCTCCATATATCACAGTATGTATCCCATTATGCTGCACTACAAACCTGAGAATACACAGACCTAACAGGAACCAAATTGGTGTTCTTCAGACTTCCAAATTCCTACAAGTGTTAATTAATTAAAAGTCCTGAGCCTTCAACAGAAGGAAATGAGTAAAGTGAAATCTTTTGTGAGTATTATACGATGTCATGGAAACATATCCACAATTACTTTAAATTGAGCTAATTGCTTCTCCATCTCAGCAAAATATTCCAAGGTCTGTGATTTTGTAAAAATTGACAAATTTTAGGAACATGCAGTGATCAATATTAAGATTGTTGTTTGGCTACAAGAATAAAGAAAACAACAGAAAAGCTTAAGAGAAAGTCACATTTACAGAGGAGAGAATTTACTTACAGAAGTTGATAGCTGAGTAACAATCGTAACAACAACATGGTCGGCAATGTCCAGGGATCTCCCCAAGAAAACTGACTTATCCAATACTAATATACATCAGTTGGATGATGTTTCTGTCAGTGACACAGCAATCCATATCTCCCTGCATCTGTGCAAACATTTCCCCATCAGTGTTAGGCTTGTGTGGACAGCACACATCCATTGAAACAAGTATGATATGTTAACCTAAATTATTTTCATTTGTAATGTTTTCCTGGTCAATATTCTAGAGGGAGCCAAGTAAGAGCCATTGTCATCAATATCCCCCAATGGTAAACACTAGTAAGGAATAAATATATTTATCTTACAACCTTGGAAATTCAAAACTGAAATATCTTTTAAATCATTAACTCTCAAAAAGCACCAGTTCACTAACAGAGTAATGTAAAGAGTTTGGTAATGAAACACTCTACAGTTTTCGAGATCAGAAAGCTACAGAAATAATCACTACTGGCATTCTACATTGGTCTAAACCGAAGTTGCTGTCACGGAACCACCCCAAAAAACCCACTTTTTTCCAAAATATGAAACTATCAAAAGGCACCAGTTCACAATATACCAATCTAAGGAGAAAATGCCTCTCGACATATCACACTGAATCTCCATCTTGGATGAAATTCACACAGCGAATGCAAGTACCGGTAGACAATAAACTACAGAAAATGGACGGGTTCATCACAAAAGCATGTAAATCTAGAAACATCTAAATACCTATTTTTCTTAAATTGAATTGTTAAATACTTTTCTGATTTATCATGCTACCTCTACAGAATATGGGTCAGCAGGCTGCTTAACTGAATATATTGTCTGGCCTGCTGTCTGTCAGTCCAGATGACACAGAACAAAACCAGTTTCTGCACAACTAAAACCTTATTGTTGCATGCAGGTTACTAGATAATTAGTCCAACATGTTACCATATTCAATATGGAATGTGTTATGCAAATTTAGAGCAAATTCAAACATGTTTTATCAGGTGAGATCTCATATTACTCATAACATAAATAGCAACATGACAGGAGAATGTGAAAGAAAGTTGAATATTTATGATGCATTTCCCCCCTTGATATTTGTCTTATAACAATAGGGTCTGAGAGGCAGAAAGAAAGTAGTTTTGTCAAAGTGTGTCATTTCACTAGAATATAATAGTAATTATATTTTTTGACAGATACACAAGTTTATCACTATTTGTCAAATACAGAATATATAGTATGCATTCCAGATATTTGCCATACATCAAAATTCATAAAGGCCAAAAGCTTTCAGAAAGAGCTGTATGATTAATGGGCAAACATGACAAAGAGAAGCACCACATGTTGTTGGACTCATCTGCCAAAATTCAGCTTCTTAACAGATATTATGGCCTCAGACGTTAAAAATTCACACTGTTAGCATAATGGAACCATGTTATGTTCACCCTCAAGTCATTGGGATAGCATAGTGGTTAGTACTATAGTAGTGTTCACTCATCAAAGGTCTGGGTTTGATTCCCAAAATTGAATACATTGATCAAAGTCCCTTCCTGTGATCACCTGCCTTGATATTGCTGGAATATTGAGAAAAGCAGCATAAGCCTCACTCAATAACCCTAAATTCAATACTACTATCAAAATACATTTGCAATGTTATATCCAGTAGTATCTAATTGAAAACTTAACCTACCACCAGCTGGTTATAATGTTGCAATCTTGGAAGAAATATGGAGTAATGTCATTCCTGCTGTTGCTCCATCCATTAATATGTCTATGCTGCAACGATGTGGGTTTCAGGCACAGGGTTTATGCTGATCATATGTAACATGACGTGAGGTGAGGTGAGGTGAAATTGGGCTTAACGTGCTTGAGAATATTTCGCTCATATGACGATGTGCATGCATGTGTATGAGTGAGTGAGTGAGTGAGTTTAGTTTTACGCCGCACTCAGCAATATTCCAGCTATATGGCGGCGGTCTGTAAATAATCGAGTCTGGACCAGACAATCCAGTGATCAACAGCATGAGCATCGATCTGCTCAATTGGGAACCGATGACATGTGTCAACCAAGTCAGCGAAACTGACCACCCGATCCCGTTAGTCGCCTCTTACGACAAGATAATCGCCTTTTTATGGCAAGCACATGGGTTGCTGAAGACCTATTCTACCCGGGATCTTCACGGGTCTCATGCATGTGTATGTGTATGTGCGGCTGCTTGTACTAGCCCAGACTGAAGCTGGTTTTATAGTGCTAGCCCACTGAGATAACATGCCGCAGTGAAGCATGAATACCCCACTCAGACACATTATACTGACTCCGAGCCGACCAGTCCTTGTTGTACCCATTAATGCCGAGCGCCAGGCAGGGACCAACAAGTACCATATTTTAACATCTTTTGGTATGATGCAGTCGGGGATTGAACCCGCGACCTTCAGCTCTCTGTGCTTGTGTAACATGGAATCACAGGAAATTCAAATAGCTTCCTTGGTCATATGCTTTTTGAGTAAATCTAAGAGCATCACAATGCCAGATTAAATAACCATGCAAACAACAGCAAATCTATGTTAAACACCACTGTGAAATACACATGTGCCAAATGTCCTTACATTCAAAGCAAAAAGTAATGTCCATAAGAGTGAGTGACTGCAGGAGTGGTATCAGGTCACTAACAGCATCCAAGACGGTCCAAGCAGTGGGTGACCTTAAGTAACATCACAACGTCAAGATTGACAGATTGTGCGCCACTATCTGCAGGATCGCTTCCCCAGAGCGACGGAAACAGCACGCCAGACCATTGTGACTCACAACAGACCGATCAGTGCCAATACAGTGCATTGACATTTGTGCGGAAAAAAACCTCTGCTGTCACAGACCATATTGTAGTCCTGTCCTTACCGCTCATCATCGCCAAAACCGACTACAATGGGCAACTCAGCATCGAAAATTGGCATAATGGAGAACTGTACTTTTTTCTCACGAAAGCCGATGTTGTGTTTCGTCAGTCGATGGCGAGTATGGTGAAGGCGTTGGGAACTGTTTTCAAAGGCGTGTATTGTTGAAAGAGACTCATGGGGTGGTCCAAGCATCATGGTGTGGGGTGAAATCGGTCTGAACCAGATTGTTGAATGTTCCAGAATCTCGGTCAAGGATGAGGAAATGACGTAACAGTTGCTCGCTATATTGACCAAGTCATGAGGCCCCACGCTGTACCACATTTTGGACATTAAAGAAATCACATCTTCCAGTAAGACAAAGCTAGTGCCCACACTGCAAGAGTAACATTGGCTTCCTAAGACAACATGGCATCTAAAACCTACAATACCCTGCACTCAGTCCGAATTTGAGTCCAGTAGAACACCAGTGGGACAAGATTCAAAGAAGACTGAATGACCTCTAACCAAGGGCGACAACTGATGTTGGACTCGATTCAATTCACAGAGTATGGACCCAAGCGCCTATGGCCTTCATCAACAGGATAATTCATTCCATGTACACACAATGCAACGCTTTCATCGATGTCCATAGTGGCCACACACAATACTGACTTTGGGCTATCTTCATGGTACCATTTTTGGTGATTTTGTATTTTTTAACTCTAAATGTGATTCCCAAAAATGTGTTGAACACAATTGTTAAGTCTGAACTCTATCCTCCGGTTTGTTTGTTAATTAGAGTGAATTATAGTGTGTGCTTTCAGAAACCGCTATCAGTGCGACATTTGTTTTGTGGTTCAGTATATTATGAGCAAACTGGAAATCAAATGAAATAGATTCTGCTGGTTCTATACCCAAGGCATGTTACTCTACACAGCGAATTGGTGTCCCTTAGACAACTGGGCCCCCAAAATATGCAGGGATAGCAATATCGTCATCATGTAATGTCATCAAACAATGAAAGAATTATTACACATTTACATGAACAAAACACATGTGTGGATTCTGGGCAACGACCTGTCAACAGTAATCAGTATTGGTTTTAAGACTCAACCATTATCATATTCACATTAACGAAAACGCCATGTGGGGATACTTGGTAAGCACTGGACCACAGTAACTAAAGCTGGTTGAGAGAGCAACCAAACAGATTAGTCAGTCAGGCTCAGCGACTTGTTCATTGTGTTCACTGGATTGTCTGGTCCAAACCCGATTATTTATAGGGTGTGTGCATAACTGTCGTATATTGGGTCAGGAGCAAATAACAACAGGAACCTGTGAAGGCGGTAGATGATGTACTGATGATGGTGTGATGCATCATATATGTATATGCACCGATGACGTCACACAGTGACATAGTTCACTCACAGAAAAACGTGGCACTGCTGTAATCTAATCCTTACCATGTGCATCTACAGCACCTTAAAGACTACAGTAATAATAGACTACAATATGGACAAGATGATTGTCCTGTACAGAAGTAGATTTAGTCCACAAGAACCTATGATTATGTTTATGCTGATCTTTCTGTGGGGTTTCCAAGGTAGAATAACACCCTTTGGACTTACACCTGATCTTGCTGAGGGATTGCCAATGTGGAATACATCCCTTAGACTTTACGCTGGTCTTCCAGTGGCTTTTCCTGGCTAGAATACATCCCCATAACTACCTGCTGGTCTTGCTGAGGAGGGTAGGACAAAATCCCACCCAGACAAAATCCCATAGGACAAAATCCCAAAGGACAAAATGTCTGCACATTGCGGATAAAATCCCAACAGTGTGAAAAATGACATACAATTATTTTGAAATAGAAATTTTTATTTTTCCTCATAAATAAGCAGTATTGATCATAAGCACTAATAATATGATTCGATGCAATCTCATAACATAATTCATCATCCTGCTATATTTTCATGATACATGTACATGTAATCATACAAAGCATCATTCAAGAACATCATCTTTGTACATCTTAATTGATGTATGGCTGGATGACCATGAGATGTAACAAGAACCGGATTATCCATTGTCAACGATGTCTTCATGGACCCACGACATTCTAATGCAATTTTTCTTGAACATTCCCACCTAATACTACTCTTATTTGAAACCTTCTTACTGTACAAAAATCCATCTAATGCTATTTTAACTGCTCTCTTTTTGCTCTTCAGTACTTCCATTTTGACCCACTGATAAAAACTGTCATCATCACAGACACATTTATACAATTTATCAATGTTAATACATGCCAATCGACTTATCCCATATTGCTTCTGTCATGAAAACATGCTAATGTTTTACTGGTGAAAAAAGGTAACAATAACATAGAAAAATGGGATTTTGTCCTATGTTGGTCATTTTGGTGTGGGATTTTGTCCAAAGAAATTTTGTCCTAAAGAGGTTTGGTCTGGTTGGGATTGTGTCCGGTTGGGATTTTATCTGGTTGGGATTGTGTCCGTCCCCCTTGCTGAGTGGCTTTCTGGACGGTAAAATACTCCATGACGCAAATTTCGTCACAGTTTAAGTTGTTCATGTCGTAATCGAGACGATAACGTACGTCCTTAAGTGTCCATAAAACACACAATGATAAACAAATTTGTTTATAAACACTTCATTGGAAAACGATCCGTTTTGGCCAATATTTCGGATCCGTTTTAATGCTTGCCCTTTTGGACTGGCACAACCTCTTGCATATTCGGCCACGTATGAAGAACATATTTCCAGATGCAAAAAAGAAACGAGAAATTATAAAGATCTCGACATATAAATGGCAGATAAACAAAACTGTAAGACACAAATCATTTAAACGACACTGACAATCTAGGTACATTTAGCACTTCACGTTGCTCGACGAATGAATACTGACAAATCCGTTGACACTCGCAAAGTAGACTTGTTGCCATTACACTGCTAATAATTGTACTGCGTTTGCTTACAAACCTTTAGGATGGTCAGATTGTCTTCTCACGTCGTATTATGTAGTTCTTATTCCGCTTGATATCTAAGACTCACATCAAAACATATCACTTGCGTGTAAACACCAACAACCTCGTGGTGACCTTTACCAAGGCCACAGGAAGTGCACACCTCCACTTTCTGCGAATTTCATTGGATGAATTGTATGCTGGTTATAAATAGCTCTAGTAAACAAACCCGCGTGGTAGAAACCTAACATCAGTTATTATTCGCGTATTTTACAATTAGTTTCATATCTATTCTTTCTATTCTATTCCACAAGACAGCTCTTTGAAATCTTCGTAGAAAGAACATGCCCGATCGTAGATCCCAGGTTATGAAATGTGGACACGAAACGCTGGTAAGGCTTGGATATTGCTCGACGTAAGCGGAAAGATGACTATCGGAAAGTTGAAGTCATCTCTTATGACCCACGAACCAAACTAACTGTAAGGGACCGTTCATAGTTTATGGCGTGAGGGTGGGGGGTGGGGGGTGGGGGTTTGATGATGATGTTTATGGAGATGCATGTACAATGTGATAATTTCAGACTGATGGAAATCTTTATTATAATCTTCAACTACAAGGTTCATCTGAATTGCTTCTCAGACGAGCAATTTTGTAGTGATTCATTCTTTGATGATTACATTTGACAAAAGAGCAAAAGGATCACGGGGATTCCCCGTTGTCGGCGCTGCGCATGGAAGTGAGAAAACCTGCTGGGAATTATTGAACACGTCACTGGTTATTTATTCTGTGGTTGTGAAAGACCTCTTGCTGTTGTTATGATCAAGTTTCCTTACATAATGCATGCCGTTGACGATATTTCTCTCAAGGGAAACTCTTAGGCCAAGACAGGCTGAGGGAGGAATTAATTCATTTGTGGATATTCAGGGGAGATCGACATGGTTTACCAAGGGATGTATAAAAATAATTCTGGCTTCCTCTGTCGGTTATTGAGCGACAAAAAAGAGATTTATTTAAAATGCACATTTTTGTTTACAGCTAAACGTTTCAAGGTCCATCTAACTTCACTATTAAAGTTTTAAAGTATCTTTTTTTAATTCCGTGTTAGTATTGAAAAGTATTCCTCACCGTAATGTGTGTATTTTACAAAGCCAGATTTTCAAGGACATACAACTCGAATCTTATTCAATCTTGGTAGTGTTCACCAAACCAGTCTATTTTATCAACAACTAAACGAGTAAGGGGGTAGTTTAGACAACAAGACTTTCACCGACTTGAGGTTATTTGCAGCAGAACAACCCAGGAAGAGGAACTCATCCTGAAATTAAATCGTCTGATTCGCTTCTGAGACAGCGGTGGGGTAGCCTAGTGGTTAAAGCGTTTGCTCGTCACGCCGAAGACCCGGGTTCGATTTCTCACATAGGTACAATGTGTGAAACCCATTTCTGGTGTCCCCGTCGTGTTATTGCTGGGATATTGCTAAAATCGACTAAAGTCACCCGCTAATGTCTACTTCTGCCACTGGATGACAGTTAATCTGTTTTGCTACAGAGAAGTCTTGTGACTTCGAACTGTCCTCATGTGTAACAGTGCAATAGCACTGAATACACATATGAGGCTGTGGACGTTTATACTGATATAATGTATACTGGATTTGAAAGATACATTAATTAAGCGTCGTATTTAGACAGACAGACAGTTATACTCACTATAAAGGCATGTGGCCAAAAAAACATTTATACAGATATTTACCCGGGCACTTTAATAGGGCTAATACATACATTTAACAATGTGTTTTGAAATCTGATATTTCTTTTTGAAACAATGCATAGCCGTGGATGTTCAATCCGTTCCACTAATAGCAGTACGTATAGTATTACAGTATACCCTAGTTATAATGCCACTGTTTGTATATGATTCGCACGGAAGCAAAACTGGGCATATCATGGTATCTTCCGGTATTTACAGAGACTTTAAAGTACACTCTTCAAAAAAAGGAAACGCATGCACAGGCGTTTTCAGCAGTTCATTTCGATATATTTTGACAGCAAACGTCATTAAGACATTTCCTATGTTTGAATCCCGTTAATCATGTCGTGATTGTTGTGTAATGCGCGCACACGCATCTCAAAATGTGTTAGTGAACGTTTGTCATTAAAAATGGAAAACTATACATGAAAAGTGCATGCAGAAAATGTTTTCCACTTAACGCACGTGCAATGTGTCGGATAGAGACGTCGACTATAAAGGCCAAACCAAATTCTTCATTTCATTACGAAATGTACCAAGACCAAAAATACCAAGATTGAATGCTACTGACCGGAATATCGCCATTGGACGTTTTGGAAGCGGTGTGTGTGTGTGTGTGCGTGTGCGTGCGTGCGTGCGTGCGCGTGTGTGTACGTGTGTGTACGTGTGTGAACGTGTCTACTCTGCGGTTGCAAGACACTTCATCGTCCACTACAGCACCATATCTCGATTATGACATCGATATACCTGCTTCAATTCGACCCAAGATCGTCCCAAAGTGGAAGACCAAGAGAGACCACTCATGCTCAGGAGCGATTCATCCGAGTGTTTCGCACATGAGGCATTGTCTGAAAGAAGTGGGAATTCGAGCATATCGACCAAAAGTTGGACCTGTTCTGACACGACTACACCGACAACGACAACGACGTGTCCAATGGCGCAACAGGGCACAGGCATGGGGGCCAGGGGAACGCGTTTGGTTCAGCGATGAATCCCGTCTCCTCCTGCAAATGGAGTCTTTGGTCTCTGATATTATACGTTCCGTTTAGATAACATGTAGAATATGAAGTTGTGTAGAAGGGGCAACTTATTTCATACATGTCATGATGTCCTTACGTCGGAGCTGTACATGTATTCATGGAAATGCAGAGGTGTGCACCCCCCCATCCCCCTTCTGAAGAGTGTGCACCCCCCTTTCTAAAAAAGCTGTATGTATCCGCCCCTGGGTTCTCAATGCCAGAGTTTAATCGTCTTAATCGTCATTTCTTGTGCCTGGAGGGAAAATAACGGATTCGTAGTTCGATTCGCACGGGTAGATTCGTCTCCGACAATACTTCATATAAACATTACGTTTAGGCCTCAGGCGTGGTATTATCAATGCACTGCGTAAAATAACGAAACCCATCTAGATGAGACGGAGACAGAGCGAACATCAGGGGTTAGATCAATAATTAACGGACAGCACGGTGATTTGTTCGAGCGTGTCTGCACGAATCTTGCTCTGGAACATAAAAAAGATACGTAGGAAGTATTTGTCAGTACTGACATTGAATAATATTTAATTATTAAGGTTTATATAAGAGAGGTTCTAACGTTCGCTGTTAAAAATAGATCTCAAGACGCAGTTTTTCAATACTCGACATCGGAGACCGGAGACAAATGGAGGTGCACTATAAAGACATGTACAGGAAAGTGCACAACTGTAGTAGAGTTTTTCAGAGATTCTAGTGAACATAATCATCCGCCACCAGACGAAACACGACTCGGTTTCATCAGCCCCTTCGTAAACGAGCGCGAGAAGAACCTACCATGCCGATGCCATCTCTCACCACAAAATTCACCTTATTCTATCAGACTACAAGGCTATCAGTTGGACTAGTCCATTATCGTAAAGGGTAGCAGCCTTTGCTTTTGTTTTCACTCAACCATATAATTTTGTGTATTGGACTGTCTGACAAATGGGGGACACCTGTTAAGGGAGTACAGTGTATTATACAAATTTTGATTCGAGGCATCAGCAAATGGGCAACACAGGATTATGTATTTATAAACATGGCATTACAAATTAAATGTACAATAAAACAATCCAAAAATGTTCAGTGAACACAGGCATGCTTGGAACAACATGAATAATAGTCATTACCTGTTTTACACATACACCCTGCTTTTGACTGAATTTGATATACTCCAGTAATTTGACAAATATAGTAAATGAGCCAGATGATTTAGGCCACATGATCGCCGCGCTAATTCTATACACATGGGCATTGAATAAACACCACCTGAATCCACGATCACTTTTAGAAGTGTAGTCCAAATTAACAGCTTATTATACCCTAGCATAGTGGACCTGGGCTGTACCTTGTAGTGGTGTAGAGGCTTGAGTGTTTCCAAGATCCCGAGGGCTGTACTGGCTGGGGTCCATACCCCTGGCAGGTTCAACCAAGTCAGGGAGGTCTTGGGGGAGAAACCAGACTAGAACAGTTCCAAATGTCCCAAATGCACTCACTTGGTTGGGTAGGGGACCAACGATCCTCTACTGTAAAAACAGATTGCTACAGAAACCATAACTAGAAAGCAAGATGCTGGGAGAAGGAGGAAAGTTACCCAGGCAACTGGGTTAATGACGGATGGCAGCCAAACCACCCAAGGAGCTGGCACCCAGAGCTTCATCCGAAAACAATCCATAGATTTGGCTGCTGGAATGTGAGGATCATGTACCAAACAGGAAAGCTGGCCCAAGTCACCAGAGAAATGGATAACTACAACATTGAGCTACTAGGTGAGAGCGAGACCAGATGGACAGGTAGCGGCACAAGACAGCTAGTTTCAGGACATCACATCCTGTACTCCGGAAGAACCGATGGTCAACACAGCCGAGGAGTTGCCATATTATCATCAAGAGCTGTACACCAGAGCCTGCTTGAATGGAAACCTGTTAGCGAAAGATTGATACAGGCTAGGTATGATTCATCATATGCCAAACTAACAACAATAGTCTGCTATGCCCCAACAGAAGATGCAGATGACTCAGACAAAGACGCCTTCTATGATAGCCTATAAAAAGAAGTGGACCAAACATCAACACATGATGTGGCAAGGAGCAAGGAGCAGGGACGATCAACAACAATGGGGAGAGGCATTTTGCATTTTGCCAAGAAAACAACCTAAGGATAGGAGGAAAGCTGTTTGCCCAGTCTAAGTAAACTTAGACTCAGTATTATTCGTTAAACTGCTATACTGGGTCTAACAAAACCTTGTGGAAGGTCGCGTCAGGTAACCTTTGAACGACATATGACCGTCCAATCAAACGCGAGACGGCCGAACGGATTTAACCAACCAGACAACAGCTACTATTTAGGGTTCGGCGGGACTTACAAAATGGATTTTCTCTTCCCCGTTCGCCAACACTGATCTCCCAACAAATGAAACTTACATAAAACACAGATATTTGCCCTGCAGTATAAACCCTTTGTGGTTTCTGGTGACATGGCTATCATTAGCTAACATTTCAGCAAGCTGACATGCTTGTTTACTGACGAAACGTTATTTTCAGCGACTGTTTACTCACTGCTGTGGCGTGCCTTACTAGAAACCGATCGTACGGAAAATAGCATTCGGAATCGTTCAGTACAAACTTTTTGGAGGTAAAAGTTAAAAATGTATGTGCGACTTACTTAGTTTACTTAGACTGCCTGTTTGTCCACAAAGACATCCACAAAACAACATGAAGCTCTCCTGATGGTCATACAGAAAACTAAATCGATCGATGGAGAGGCAACCTACAGGACGTCGTAGCAAGGCGTGGAGCAGACGTAGGAAGTGATTACACATTGGTACTGGCTAAAGTGAAACTGAAACTTAGGAGAGTGAGGAGATAAGGACAGAGACCATCACCTGTCAACATTTCAAAGCTCAAACATCCATCCGTCAAGAAATCCTTCCAGATTGAGGCGAGGAACAGATTCAGTGTGCTGATGGAACAGCAGAACATTGGCCTTCAGCAGTTCAATGAGGTGCTACTGGAAACAGTTAAATGGCTGTTTGGACACAAAAAGAAGAAAAGAGAAGAATGGATATCATATGACACCTGGAGGAAAATATAAATGCGGAAAGGGAAAAAGAGTATTAAAAGAACAACTGCTGACAAGCTATAAAGCTTTGGACAAAGAAGTGAAAAGGAAGCCGAGCAAGCAGCATCCAAACAAGAAATGAAACCCTCTACATACTGACCAAGACACTCTCAGTGAAATGCCAAACTGCAGCCGGACCGGTCAGAGACCAACAGGGAAACATCATGTCCAAAGAGGAAGAAGTCTTGCTGTGCTGGAAAGAACACTCCGAGAAAGTGCTGAACCGAGAAGATTCAGATATAGAAGCAAACATTGAACCTGCAGCCGACAGCCTGGACATCAGCACAGAACCACCCAACATTGAGGAGGCGAAAAGAGCAATAAGGGCTCTTAATATATATATGGGATAACACCAGGAATGGCTCTACCATATATATATATAAGGGCATATATGCTCGAGACAGAGGACTCAGTAACACCAGTGCTACTAACAGACATAATATCAAACATCTTGGAGTCTGAAGAAGCGCCAGAGACCTGGAAGTCAGGCGTATTAGTAAAACTGCCAAAGAAAGGGATTTGACCAACTGCGACAACTGGAGAGGGATAATGTTGCTATCTGTGACCAGCAAAGTACTGAGCCGGGTAATCCTCAACAGACATTCGAGAACCATGGACACACTCATGCGAGAAGAACAAGCTGGCTTCAGGAAAGGAAGATCATGCAAGGAACAATATTCACCCTCAGACATATCATAGAAAACAAAGTAACGAATGGAACGCAACCGTCTATGCCAACTTCATAGACTTTTCCAAGGCCTTCGACAGTATTAACACAGCCGCTCTCTGGAAAATCCTCGCCCACTACGGGATCCCAGACAAATTAATCTCTATCATGAAGATGCTGTACAATAACTTCAGCGCCAGAGTCATATGTGGAGTGAAACAAGGCTGTATCTTATCCCCACTCCTCTTCACCCTCTGCTTGGACTGGGTACTAAAGAGAGTCACCAAGAGCAAGCAAAGAGGAATCACCTGGACATTCACCAAGAGTCTAGAAGATCTTGACTTTGCTGACGACATTGCCCTGCTCGCCCAACGTTTCCAAGACATCCAAAGCAAAACACAAGACCTTGCCACAACAGGAGAAACGATTGGCTTGAAGATCAACACCAATAAGACCAAAATTCTCAAGATAAATGCCAAATCTACACTGCCAGTATCCCTTGGAAGTACAAACATCGACGAAGTTCAGGACTTCTCCTATCTTGGCAGCAAGATCACAGCCAATGGCAACTCAGAAGCAGATGTAAAGTCAAGAATAGGCAAAGCTAGCGGAGTGTTCAGTTCACTGAAGAACATCTGGAGGTCAAAATCAATGAGCACAATCACCAAACTGCGAATCTTCAACATTCTTCGAGTCCTATTGGAATCCTGGAAAATATCCCACAACATCTGCAACAAACTTGATGTATTCCAAACCAGATGTCTCAGAAGAATACTTCGCATCTTCTGGCCAAGCACCAACTCAAATGAAGAACTGTACATGTGCACGAACACCAGCCCACTGTCCCTCGAGATCCAGAATAGAAAATGGCGTTGGATCGGTCATGTCTGCAGGATGCACCCAGATTCCATACCAAGGGTTGCTATGCGATGGACACCAACAGGAAAAAGAAACAGAGGACGTCCAAAGGAGACATGGAGAAGATCTGTGGAGGCAGAGATGAAGGTCGCAGGGTGGACCTGGGGACAGGTGCATCAATGGGCCCGGGATAGACAGCATTGGAAAACTCTAGTTACGGCCTTATTTGCTAAGAGCACGAAGAGGATAAAGTAAGTAAGTAAGTAAGTAAGTAAGTAAGTAAGTAAGTAAGTAAGTAAGTAAGTAAGTAAGTATAGTGGACACGTGCTTCACACAATGTCTTAAAAGCTATGGGTGGCATGTTCACGTGATGTGACATCGCCAAGCACATTTTAACTGATATAAAGGACAACAGTAATAAAAAATTAACTTAATTGACATGGCAAGACGTAGACCTCAGAGAATGTACACGACGACAAGTTATTGGCATGCATGACGCATGGATGTCCTGTTGTACATCGATGCTAACTTCCACAATAACCACATGGTTATTGGTCGACTAGTGAGAAGCTCGTGGCCACCGATGAAGCAAAGGATCGTCCATGATCTGGAAGACCAGGAACACCAATGACCCTGATGCCAGAGTCCAAATTCGTCTGGCAAGACGCAATCCAATTACCCATGCCAAAGAACTGCGCCGGAGAGTGGGAGTCCGATTCTCCAGGAGTGTCATCAGAAGGAGTCTGTGGGATGTTGGTCTGAGGAACGTCGTCCGATCAGATATCCACAAGCAGGAACATCTGCCGTTGTTCTACGCTCTGAAAAAATGGTGTAGGGTGGTCTGATGAATGTCACTTACTTCTACACGTTACCGATGTACCGGTGGAGACGTCGTAATGAGGCAGCAGAACCCTCAGTGTTGGTGTGAGGTTGCGTTTCGTATGACTGCAAAACAGATCTTAGGACACTGGTTAATGTTATCGACAGGGCACCGCCCTTGATCGGTTGGTCAGGCTTTCTGACTTGGTTGACACATGGCATCGTAATCCAGTTGCGGAGATCGATGCGCATGATGTTGATTACTGGGTTGTCTGGTCCAGAGTGATCAAATGTAACATATGTTATATTTGGGATTACACGTTCTTAGTAACACTTATCAGAGGGGTACACAAAGTCCCCAGTCTAGACTACCAGTTGTCCGACTTCCGTTTTTGTGGAAGCCACGGTGGCTGAGCAGTCGAGGCGTTTGACTTTGTGTGCTGGCGATTAGGTGCCTGACTCTGAGGGTGTGGGTTCGAATCCCAGTTGGGACTCAACCCAACAAAAGTACTAGAATCTGTACTTTACTAAGAACGTGTAATCCCAAATATAACATATGGTCCAGACTCAATTATTTACAGACGGCCGCTACTTAATTGGAATATTGCTGAGTGTGGCGTTAAACAACAAGCAAACAAAACGTTTTGATTCCTAAGTTAACTGGGAATCAGTCCATAAATAACATGTTAACCCAACAAACAACGCAGAGATGAGATGTAATTATCAATTGTATTCTAAAATGAAATAAGTTTACAAATAAAGACAAATCACTACAAAGCTATGATAGTGGATGTACAAAATCAAAAGCGTTATAATACAAGGACAGTGATTATAGCAATACAGAAAATGATGACCCCTGTCCCGATTGTGGACTCGTGACGTCATTGTGATTGACTTTTCAATTGAAATCCTCCCGACTTGTTATGGTCTCATGATCCCTCCATTAAAGTTTATATGTACCTTTGACATTGTTATCGTATTTATCAACTTATAATATTTTGACAATGCACAGTTTCTTTATGTGGCTAGTAATACGTCGTGCACTATCGCAACCTGCAGCTGTACCTGTTGCTGGGTATGAAGCTGACCAAAATACACCGAGTGCTCAAATTTGATCGAAAACCCGAATTGAACACCGAATTGAGAAAACGACCCACAAGCGACTTCGAGAAAAACCTTTACAAACTCATGAACAATTCGGTATTCGGCAAAACCATGGAAAACTTGAGGAAACGCGTCTGAAAACTGATCGCCAGCCCGGCATTCAACCGAAGCAAGCTATTCGATAACGACTTGGCAGCGCTCCACGTGAACAAAAGCCACATCAAGCTCAACCGACCCGTCTACGTATGGATGAGTATCCTCGACCAGTTCAAACATCTCATGTACGATTTCTACTACAACCAACTCATGAAGCAATACGGCGATCGATGCGAGCTGCTGTACACGGACACCGATTCCTTGTTGTTGAATATACGCACCGAGGACGTGTACGAGGACATAGCGAAACACAGCCACTTGTACGACACCAGCGATTACCCCCAAGACCCAGCCCTACACAGCACGACAAAGAAAAAGGTCCTCGTCAAGATGAAGGATGAATGCGTGGGCACACCCAACGCCGAATACGTCGGATTGAGACCCAAGATGTATTCCAACCTGAAAGCCGAAAATGGTGAGATCCGAAAGGCGAAAGGGGTAAAAAATACGTGGTGAAACAACACATCAAACACGCTCTCTTCAAACAAGTTCTGTTCAAGAATAAAACAGTCAAACACCGAATGAATGTGTTGAGAAGCGACAAACGCAACATCTATGGAATCACCCTGAACAAAACCTCCTTGTCGCCCATGGATACCACACGGTGGATCGCAGTCGACGACGTCACGACTTACGCGTGCGGACACACCCGCATAAACCATTGACTAGACCTCGACGCGTTGGGAGTTTCTAAGACCCCCCTATAAAGGAAACTCGACTCGGCATGTCAAGGTCTAGTCAGTAGTTGATTTGTAGTTGCTGAAAAAATGGGTAACCCTAGCGAAAATGAGATGAGGGTCTAGGCTGGCGAGCTCGGCTGTACATCGAATGGTGTCTCTGCTCGAAAATCACTATTTTATACTAGGCGCTGGGAGCGGAATCACGTAGAAATAAGCCTATAAGGTACCCTGTAATAGAACCCCCATTATATAACTTCTAGTACACATACATACAAAATACATATAGTCAGTCAGTTATAGCATTTCTAAGTAAATGGAAGGATGACCAGAAAGAATGAAAACATGCATAGTTACAATCAGGAAACGCAATCAATTTTAAAATTTCATTATATTTTACTATTTCTTTTGGAAACCATATAAATTTGGGTTTCACTGCTTTTGTATTACATTTTTTCATAACATATAATGAATTATTATTATGTTTACCTTTAAATCCAAGTAATATATGTACTTTACTTGAATTTTACTTTCTATGTATTCTTCAATCAGTTCAGTACAGTTTGCCCAAATATCTATGGCATGTTGAAAATTACAAAGCACATGTGCAATAGTTTCAGCTTGATCATTACACAATGAACATGCTGTGACTTCACATAGCCAACGTCTTCGAATCATGGTTCGACTGGGTTCCGTATGGTTAGGTTTTTCAGCACCATATGGGTTTAACAACGGGAAATATGTCGGGAGACCGGCATGGATTCAGCTTTAGCTGGTGTACAACAAAGCGGTGTTAAACTCAGCTTGCGCACTTTGTCGCTGTGTGACGTTTACGCTGTAGTATGTCATACCAGAATGTCCCTATTTCGTGCAATGTCCTTTCTTGAAGTCTTCTACCATGAACTATTGGACCATCGTTATAACGTCAACTTTAAATATCGTCAAACCCCATTAAACCGGACCATCTCACTTAAAGGCATAATGTCACACATTTTCGAAAATATTTTGGCCTATATTATATATGTAAACAATTTGCTCTGTGCATATGCACACGCGAGGTTGATGCCAATAACAGATATATTATGCCTAGGATACGACTTGCCTGAAATCGATAATTGAAACTTCGGCTGAAGACAATGCTTCCAAATTCAGAGAACACATATTGAAATCTAAATGGAATGTAAATATAATTGCTCTGTGCATCGAAAAATGCATTTCTATTTTGGTGGTGTGAAATAGTGCCTTAAATCGTCCAGACATCTTATTTACGATATTGGGATCACTCAGTAGTACATATACCAGCATACTAGTAATCGACGGAACTGAAACTTGATATCGTTCACGCTTTTGTCCGCGTTCAGAAATACAATTGTTAAGGGCAATCAACTTGGGAACTCTATACAAAATATTTCAAGTGGAACATGCCGTGACTCCGGGGACTAAAAATGGCAGAACTGATGGACTTCATTGTTACGGTTGCAATGGTAGTTGAACTTTCTGAAAAGTCTTCATTAGAAATTGAAGCAAAATGTCAAAGTCGCGTCAAAGCATTATCTAAATGATTCAAAACTATGGAAAGAGCTTACTGAACAGGTGCCCAGTTCCTATATCAGTTGACGTTTTTCAAAGGCGAACATCTTTTTTTATCTCCGTGGCGCTAGGGAATTCCAGGATAGAAATGGTGCCCAGCAACATATGCCTGTTGTACGTTGTTGTTTTTGTTTGTTGTTAAACGCCCAATTCAGCGATATTCCAGCTATATGGCGGCGGTCTGTAAATAAACGAGTCTGGACCAAACAACCCAGTGATGAACAACATGAGCATCGATCTACGCAATTAGGATACGATTATATGTATCAACCAGGTCGGCGAACCGCTTAAGAGCGACGTTAAGCAGCAAACATGGTCGGTATTGAATGAATAGTGCTTCACCGAGTCAAGAGCGTCCACTTCTCCGTGTAAGACAGTAGTTTTCAACAGATTTTGACATATACCTTTGCCTCGTGGAAATGCCGATATTAAGATTTCGAGATTCAACAGCCACTAGATGGAAGGGGTGAAAGAATAGAGTCTTCTTCTGTGTGACACATGGCGCTTCTATGTAGTGGCTTAATGTATTAAGGTCCAAACATGACGGCTAAAGATCAGTTCAGTTTGGGTACATTGACACACGACAAAGGTGACAGTCTCTTCTAACCCGTCGGTTCCAGTGACAGGTCAATATCTCATGAAGTTGTTTGTTCTCCGAGGATTTTCATGCATCAACCACACAAGTCGTTCTGGGAATATACAACCTTTATTTAGACAATCTTCGTACGGCCATCATGCGTAGAGAAAGTCTAAACTCAACACATGTCTCTTTCATAGCGACTTACATAGTCATCCTCAACCACTGGCTGAGCTTCCATGGACAGCCGCGTATCCACAGCATTCCTGAGCATCCGTGGTTGGCCATTCTAATAGTTCTTATGATAAATTAATCTAAAGTCTTGGTCTCTTAAATAGTCAGAGTTCGTTTTAAAGATATATGCATACTCCAAGGCCAAATGTAGAGATGGCATCACAATCAGGTAATATGATACACCTGGCCTTATACTTCATATCTTGGCCCCAGTGCCAGTCACCGTCCATTAGACCATGCGGTTAATTCTCAAGCAGTTGGTATATGGACATGTGGACACTGTATCAACAGTGGGGGAGACCTTGTTTGTTTTTAGTAACCTGATACATTTTGTGGCTAGTTCCATATCAAAAAGACTTTCTGGAGGGTGGGAGGTGTCATTCTAATTACTAGATAACACTCTGCTGCTGAGAGATCATAAAAGAAAGGACGTTTCAAACATTTGGCCTAGGACGATGCACATACATCCCTTTTCCTTGCTTGGTGTAATTGCTGATTGCTGACTGGCCAATGTAGGACTTTTGGGCAGGTTGTGTTTTTCCAGTCATTTCAGTTTGCGCCAGCTGTATACAGGCCACATCAAAAATATTCTTGTTTCCCATCACTTATAATATAAATATATGGGTCGGGCTGGCAGATTTTATTATTACATTTTATTTTTATTTTATGTACAAAACCCCATGATTTCTGTGGAAATTTACACCTATTCTCCGATAAAAAATCAAAACTTAAGTGTGAAAAATTCGTGCACATTATGAGAGTAAAAGTTGCATTGTCTCTAATGTAAAACATAGATTAAAATTTTAGGGTCGGGTCGAATTTTTGGGTCGGGAGGTAATGAGAAACAAGAATATTTTTATACATGACCTTATCAGGTTGTTTGTGTGCATTACCCCGCCTGTAGATTGAGTTTGTACGGGTATGTGCCTCCACTGGGACACTATCAGGGCTACACTAACACTGGGAGCCTACATCATTTACTGGTTTCTTCCACAGGAAAACAGTTGTAAAAGTCTCTCATAGTGATCATCAGTTGTTTTATCAAAACAAATTGGGGGATGCAGGTAGGGAGGTGTCTTACTCCTTATCCCTTTGTTAGAAATTGTAAGAAACAGACAGCAAACTCATTGAATGAGTGAGTGAGTTCAATTGTACGCCGCTTTTAGCAATATCCCAGCAATAACACGACGAGGACACCAGAAATGGGTTTCACACATTGTACCTATGTGGGGAATCGATCCCGGGTCTTCGGATTGAGGAGCGGGCGCATAACCACTAGGCTACCCAATCGAACTTCTGGTGATATTAAAGCTTACGAAAGCCAATTAGTCAGGGAGCTTAGAAGATGGCGATTTTGATTACTTGACCTGAGCCGAGTCCGCGTTTACGGTTTGTTGAGAAAAAGAGAAACAAAATCTGAACGGGGTGAAATTTAGCTAGGAATTTGTATGTGGATGAGACATAAACCTCTGAACGGAGCCCGGTAGATATAAATGAAGTATATGCAGCTCTCGTCGTCCATGCAGGAGAGAGCACAGTCCTCCACATCATGAACGAGTGCAGAAGAGAGTAGCTGTCCACTGATCCCACGCCTTTCAAAGACCAATTCAGGATAGCCAGCTGAAAACATACAATACATAAAGTTAATTCGGTTATTATTTTACGTTAAAAATTATATGTCATCATGATGAGTCATTTAATTGAATTAATTCACTGAAGTACATTTAGACCAAACCCGAAACGAGTAAGTGCAAAATAGGCAGAGATTGGACGATAGTTTTGCACGTGGGGCTGGTTTGAGGCCCTTAGACATGACTATAAACATGAGTGTCTATTGCAGGACAATCAAACTATTGTTCAAGGGTGAACTGTAGTTAGTTGGACAATATTAGTCTGACGTGTACCTATGGTTCCATATAGCCTGGTAACATCTGGAGAGTTATTCGAAAAACACATATCCCTGTCACCACCTGACAGAGAATAATCCAAAAAGTCCACATTAGACAGGTGGAGTTTATATAGTCCACACGAGGCAGGTTGGGGTCATATAGTTCACATAAGTCAGGCGGAGGTTTATATAGTTCCCATCAGACAGATGGAGGTTATATGGTCCAAATCTCATATCACTCAATTTGCAGGAAAGGCAGCGCTCAGCCAAGAAGGTTTGCTCGAGAATGTAGATCTGTAGTGTAATGGAACGTGGCTTACCTCGCAAAATACATCAAATTACTTGAGCTCTTTGGAAAAAAAATCAAAACTTGCCGACGGCCAGTTGGTCTGCATTCTACATCAGCGATATTGTTCAAAGTATCTTTCATCCAAACACACTCACCACAGTGAGATCAATAGGACTAGACAGGAAACTTTGCCGGCTATCTTTTTCCAACATTGAAACATATCACATAGCACTCACACAAACAAGAACACATGCATCATTGTATCGTCAGGAAAGCCATACCTCGAATTGGTTCAAGTTCGGTGGAATTCCGTTTTGAGTACCTCACGATAAATGGCCAAGCTCTGGGCAAGTTCAATGTTTCTGTGTGGAATCAAACATATGAGAGTTAAAGCCACTCTGTTTACAACCCAACCTTTCATTTTGAAATGATAACTCTGTGAGAGTCTGACGACCTCTTCATAGGAGATTACCAGAGATTAACCTGATTAGCCCATGATGGTTTCTCAGCCACCAGCACGGTGGAGAGAAGCTTTCAAAGAAGCAATTCTGCTGTGACCTTGTAATGGATGTGCCATAAGTCTCCCCATTCGAGGCACTATGGCTTCTTGTTCTAAAGGGTAGTACAGTCAAAGTTATATCTATGTCCTGCATCAGCCTTTCATTTACTTGGGGGCGGTGGGGTAGCCTAATGGTTAAAGCGTTGGCTCGTCACGCCGAAGACCCGGGTTCGAATCCCCACATGGGCACAATGCGTGATGCCCATTTCTGGTGTCCCCCGCCGTGATGTTGCTGGAATATTGCTAAAAGCGGCGTAAAACCAAACTCAGTCAGTCAGTCAGTTTTATTTACTTAAAATCTAGACGATTCAGAAAGTGAAAACAAAAGGTTGAACAAAATCATTTATGTGATTAGCAAAAATTAAGATGGTAAGATTGAATTTCGTTCAGTATGTTCAATGTCACATATTCACCACAACACTAGTCCACCGTGCACACGCTACCCACCTTCACCGAGACACAGGAAAGTGATGTTGAGGTGGCAGGTGGCCATGCGGTACATGAAAGATCCTCCGTTGAGGTTCATTACGACACAGTCCGTCTCTTGTGATCCAACTGGTTGTCCATCCTGCCACGGTAGAGATCCTGGTGAGTGTACAATCTCCCCGTCTCCCCACTGGAACTTGCTCAAACTAGCGTTATAGTGAAGCCCATTCCAGATGTCATTGTTCCTGCAATATATTATAGTGTTGTAGCGTATCTGCCATTTATGTTTTTTATTCGTAAACTCAAACGAGCATAAATTATTTACCGTCAACTCACAACCGCACGCTGTAATTTGGTGAGTCCACAACAACTTGTCGGGACTATTTAAGTCAAAATGAAATTGTAGCTATGGTAAGGTGGATACGGTTTCGTCTTGAAAAAAGTGTCTCCCGACATGTTTGCAAGGGTGTTTGCAAGGATTAGAAGGAGCGTGCAATATAAAAGTGCTTAGATGTATCAAATAATACTGATTAATATTTATGTATCCAGTTGAATGAATTGGTCTCAAAAATTCTGGACTGGTTATTGTACTAAGTTCGCAATAGGGCGGAACCTAGTCGGCAGGAAACGAGACTGTTGTGTAATCAATGTTTTGACTTGAGCAGAACATGGATCACCAGTGAACGATGACAATGCAAAGGGACGCAACAGTGCGAATTGTGGTGTTTTAGACGACTAGGCACTCCTTAAAGAAATCAATGTTCTTACCTATATTTCATATAAGCAGACACTAGACCTTGCGTTTCATTCGTTTTCACGTCTACCAACTGAAGACCGTTTTCCGAGCAAGCAGTTAATGCCTTCATGTAAGTCATTTTCAAGGGTACGTAGAAATATTCCCCTGAAACTAAGAAGAAATACAGAATATGAAATATTGATTGAAATATTGATTGAAAAAGCAAAGTAACGCCATTACAATATCAAACCTATAGTCAGCTACTTAGCCAGTTTTTTTCAACTTGGGTGTTTTACAAATGTTTTGAGCTGAAAACCTCGCAAAATTTCCATGAACCAAAGGCTGGCTGGGACGAATTCCAGAAGGGATGCCTCTCGTGTGTATGTATGTATGATGTTCCTTAAAAACTTTACAAGCTGCTCTGAACAAAATTGTGTTGTTCGACTCTTCCTTTTAGAAACAAATATCGCACGTGTCAGTTCTGACCAAGGCCTGGTTTCTACAAACTGTCCTAATTCTGTGTTTTGATCGTCTTCACGCTGAGAACTATTTTGTAAACGGGGATTTCTTGACGGTTCCATGTATGTACGTCGACCTTGACATTCAGTCAGCCAACTGACGGATTATGACCCATCACCATACACGCTAACATCTGGTATTATATATATGTACATATACTTGTATTTTTAAAGAACATAGTTCAACGTTTGAAGAATTTGAAGAAAGTTGACATGGTTGAATTTATTATTCGTGAAATAATGAAATGTTGATGGAATCTGACTGCAATAATTATACCCACCCGTTTAATAACAACATACTGTTATTAATCAGTGTTTAATGACATCAGGTAGGAAGGGGACTATTTCTTTACATTTGATGGACATCCGAATTGAAACGATTGAGGCACCTCGCAACTACACAACTGTATCTGCATTGCTACTCTGTACGTTATTACAAGGTTGCAGTATGAAGGAACAGTCCCTGTCGAATTATCAGGGTACCGTTGTACAATGCGATCTTACTGCTAATGTGACCGTACCTCCCATACTTTAACGTAGACTTAAGATAGTCTTAGCGGTAAGGTTGTTTCGTACAACGCCTAGCTCTGAACGTTGTATTCATATATCACACATAAACCAACCACGTTCCTTCAACGTTGAATCTGGATAGTGCCCAAACTTTTAAGTGACTAAAAATACATTACTACGTTCTAGAGAAACGAAATTCAAGCATACGAGATCATTGATCTTACCTGAGATTTGATTCGTTCACGTCAGTTCGATATTATAATAGGTTTCCCTCCTGAGAGGCAAATAGAATTCTGAACATATATGCATTATATTTCAATTATTCCGCCACGAAGAAAACGAAATCCCGAAGGAGTTCTGTGTGAGTGAGGTTTTATAGCAATATTCCAGCAATATCACGGTGGGGGACACCAGAAATGGGCTGCACACATTATACCCATGTGGTGACTGAACCCGGTCTTTGGCGTGAAGAACGAACGCTTTTACCACTAGGCTACCCCACAGCCCCCGAAGAAGCAGGAGAATAAATCTCGCACACCCCGCTACGAAGAGAAAAGCCGCACGTTGTTTATGAGTCAACGATGCCACGTGACACGGCACACGTTAATCTCAACTCAAACAGTTTAAATAGTTTCTTTGTTTTATTCCTTTAATAATGGCAGACGAGAAACTGTTGGCAAGGTAAACTAACAACTTGCACTGTCGAAGGCTGATGTCGCACGAATGAGAAAATCTTCCTTTTCGAAACGGGCATGTGACAGTCCGAGTCTCCATACATTACACATTTCCTAGACAGGGCTTTACGTGACGCAGAAATGCGCGTCCATCTCGTACAAATGTATAGATTGGACTTAGAAATAAAATCCATATTAAATACTGATGCTCAATAACACTCATCATACCAAATTGTGTAAAGTCATACAACGATCCTCTAAAACAAGGATTTGATCAATGTTACGGCCTAGCAAATTATAAGAAAGGTACGATACTTTATAGATAATAATTTTTTATTATATTATCAGGCGACTTTTCGGTATCAATTCTTATACTGTTATATCCTGCTTCACAACAGTACAAGAATATATACCGAAACGTCGCATCACAATATAATAAAGAAGTTGTTATCCATAAAGTACCGTACCTTTCTTATTGTTCACCAACTCCTAAAATGCCAATCAAACAGATCATACCAAACTACACAATTTCTTTACTTCACAGAACGCACATATTTCCTGGGCCCTTGAATTTAGTAATTGAGGGCCGTCTGAACCCATAGTTTTTCATGTCACTTGGTAAATCTCTGTCTCAATGTTTCCTACACATTTCGTACTGACCAAGACCATAAAATAACTGATTCAAAGAATATTCCCCACCTACCTGTAAGCGAGAGCACATACAACACAAGTGCCTTCAGCGGCAGCATGATTGCCACACAATCACCTCCTTTCGGCACAAACACCAGAATCAGCGTACCATGTCTGTGACAAGATATCACCAATATGATCTCTTTAGAAAGCTAATCCGCTGAAAGCTCTCTTTCTTTGGTGATTGTCTCGACCAAATGCGTTCACGATTATCGAAAGGCTGCTCGTCCATGGGTATTGTCCCCAAGGGCATCGCTACGGCTGAACAGTTGCTTGAAGACCGCGTTCTGGAGCACGACAAAAATAAAGCTGTGCTCACATTGTTACCGGTAAAGATGAAGAAATACGTAGTGACAATTTTCGCCCGTATGCATAATGCATATATTCAAATTGTCATCGAGTAAACATTCAGGCAGCAAAATGGAATTAAATATAAATAACGACGTCCAAAAGTACAACACACCTATCTCCATTAGGATGAGGTGAAAGTACGTTTCTAGGCAGACAAACATAAATCATTAAATAATGAATCATTTATGTGAAAAATGTTTACCTCCGAATCGCCAAGGAACGGGTATGTCAGTACGATATCAAGACACAGGAATTACTCTCCTTACCAACGATTTCAGTTCATTGAAAAAGTTTAAATGTAATTCCAGTTTTACCTTTAGCCTTACCATTTTATCTTAAATTACGCCAATACCATAGTGGTGGCGCGTACACTCGTGTCGCCGAAGCCCCGGTTTGGATTCCCAACAGGGGTATAGTGTGTGAATCCCATATTGATGGTAGATTGCTATGAGCAGCTTACAACCATACTCACTCACACATATTTGTATGTTACAATCAATGCATAGAATTATTAACATTTTCTCTTCAGAAAGTTACAAAAAGCTAAATATTTCAGTTATTATACAAGCTCACTGAACAAGAATACCATTTATTGTGTTATGATTTCCACGATGTTTAATTTCACCAGGAAATGACTAAAAGAGATCAAAGACAACAGTCTATGAATATTTGATTAATACTTTGTCTGTTGGGCTGTACAGATAACTTTTGAAATTCTTTATAACTTTTGTTACATGTACAGATGCTTCAGTCAATTTGTACAGTGACGTTTTGGTTTTCTTGTTCCATCACGGGGCGGTTGAGTAGTATAAAGGTTAATGGAACATGGGTACAATGTGTGAAACCCATTTCTGGTGTCCCCATATTGCTGGAAAATTGCCAAAAGCGGCGTAAAACAATAGTCACGCACTCACTTGTTCCATCACACTGAGCACACATTTTGTTGTTTTGTTTCAGGGCATCTGGAGGTGTACTTCGTATATCGGTAATTATTTTCAATTATTAAATGTGTAAAAGAATTCTTCTAAAATACTTTCCTATTACTAGAGGTTCCCTTGACCCAGTCGGCTAAGGTTCCACTACGTTGTGTCCCCTGATCAATGTGTTTGTGAGTTCATAACTTGGACTGATTTTAAGCCTTGAGTTATCAGCACCAAATCCGTGCCCTTGTGTTTCCGTAAAGTGGTAAACGTGTTGGACATACATCATTTTCCTTCAAATTCATTCTGATACGCTTTTTTTTGCGTGTACTACAACGCTGGGTCCAAAGCTGTCTTGAAAACGAATGTTTACCGAATGGTGTCACATAGCTGGAATATCGCCAAGTAAATAAACATCTTCGCTGATCTATCTATTACCAGACCAAGGTGATTCAGCTGCCTAACGCTGTCCAGTTGCATACCTTGTGCACGACCGGTTTGTCAACACCCTTCCCGTGCTAGTGTTTTTCACTAAAGGAATAAACGTATAGGATATGCAGCAGATGGGGACTCACTCCCTTATTTAATATGTCGTGACAGCCCACTAAAGTCGACGGTAATGTCATATATACTGTACATAAACCATCCCCACGGTAAACAACTAACGTGCGTGGAATATTCGCACGAATATTCCTGGAATATCGTAGTACAGTCAGCCTCTTGTCTCATCACCTAAGAATTTCTTGGAAAGAGACAACTGTAAATGATTATCACCTATCGAGCTTTATACATAATAGTGGGAGTGAAGTGTCTAGGGATCCAAGGTGGTATTATATGGTTTTATTGCTACTGTTACAATAGTAGTCTGACATTTCTCAGAAGTCTTCATAAGAAATTAAAGAAACACTAGAGTGTTGGCGTTCCGTGAAGACATTATTTCAATTATGCAAAAGGCAGCTTAACGAATAGGTGCATTGTTGCAATGATTGTCGAAGGAAATTTTTTTGTCTCTTCTTAAGCAGCTAATTCCATACACATCGTCTATTGAGTGTCAACAGTACCGTCGCCGGTGACTCCAGAATAGAAAATGTCCCCAGCAACACGTGCTTGCAATCTGAAATGACTGAAAGCATCGACAGGCATCGGACACTAGGTATGATTGGTTGTTGGTTGGTTGTTTAACGCCGCACTCAGCTACATTCGAGATGACGGTCTGTAAATATCGAGTCTGGACCAAAGAATCCAGTTATCAACAGCATGAACATCGATCTACGCAATTGGGATACGATGACATGTGTCAGCCAAGTCAGCGAGTCTGACCACGCTATCGCGTTAGTTGTCTCTTACGACAAGCATGGGTTGCTGAAAACCAATTCTATCCCGGATCTTCTTGGATAGACTTGGTATGACACTGCTTAAATATCAAAGCATCCCACATAAACATTGTGCTCGGGAGGTTTGATTTCTCGCATCAACATCAAGAGAAACGTATAAAGTGTATCAGATGTTAGCTGCCCGGCCTCTTGAGTGGTGACTTAAATAGACAGCTTCAGGCACTTTCTTAACGGCCTTTTATATCCCATCTTAGGCACTATGTGTATGCAGAAAACGTGAACCTTAAGGTGCATGTGAACGCATCCATTAACTGCTTTGTTATTAAGGAGCTTGATGTGTTTGCTCGAATGTTTGCTTCGACACAACTGTAGCAATCGTTTTTCAAAATTACAGGTTTATGACAAATAACTTGTTATTGAAACTAGAAGGGCCTTGATATGTATGCATGATTGCTGAGTTGCTGGCCAATACATGTCCTCTGCAAGTCTGACGGTCATTCGCTAGCAAATAAAAGAAAACGTAAATATTTACACTGGAATAGATTGGGCATCGAGTGTTTGATGTAGAGACACAGCCTTATGTTTTCCAAATGTTATGCTCTAAATCTCTTTGGTTTGCTGGCATGACGTTGAATATTAAGCTCTCTCCGAGTTTTTGTGTTTTAGAGTCAACGCCATGTAATCTAATGGATAGAGTGTTTTCCCAGACACCTAGGTCGGTGACGGTACTCTCATACTTCCAGAATGCCAATCAGTTCTACGAGTATATAAAAAAAAATTAAATCTCATAATAATGTGAAATAGTCAAACTATTTGAGATCTCTGTGAAATACCTTCCCTCAATATTGTGGAACGTATTGAAGATGTCAGGAATAAACTATTTTAGCGGCATTTAATGTGTGGGCATTTGCGTACTTTGTATTTGTAGTCATAATCAGTAAAGTAGGGGTAAAAGGTGGTCAATTCGTATAAGACGCCCCAGTTCGTTCCGCAGAATGACGTCAATTACAGTGACCAGTGGTTGTTAGTAAGCTAACAATTTCACGTTGTCGCAACGTCATGCTTTCGTTGTTACGACGTTATTTCTGTGGACCCCTATTTGCGTTGTCAAAACGTTGTGGCCTGGCGTTGTGATACGTCATTTTTACGTCACCACAAGGTAAAGTTATTCATGCTGACGCATTTTACGTTGTCTTCACGTTCTATTTAATGTCCACTTTGTAAATCAACTAATTTAGGTGATGAATTTCATTACTTATCTTTCCAGTTTTGGAAAATGAGAGAAAACAGCTAATTCATAAATATGATTGCACTAAACAAAACTTCTTTAAAATGAATTTAACTTTTAAAAATCGAAAATTAGGAACTCCACGAAAATTATACAAAATGTGTAAAAACATTATGTTACTATTTAATTCATCAACACGAATACAATTGAATATTGTACTCTGATATCTGTTCCACTGCTCCGTGTTGATCAATGCATATTGATGTATACATCTGTATATTAAGATGTATGTTATGTAAATGTTGTACCTCTGATGCCTCTCATATCGGCCTCAGTAAACATGAGGCTCAGTTCAGTGCAGTCAGCCAATGCAACACTGATCCATAAGTTTGTCATCAATATTTTACATGCACTGTATAGTGGAACGGTGGGCCCTTTACAAATACACACACTTTCATCAACGTGTCACTCTTCAGTCAACACAACAACCTCAATCAATTTGAATCGCTACATCAAGTTTTACATTATTGTGTCACTCGTCAATCACAATCTCACCACATGGCGGGTCCATGATTCTGGCAATCGTCAGTCGTCACAAGATCGCCACATGGCGAGTTCATCATTCTGGCAATCGTCAGTCGTCACAAGATCGCCACATGTCGAGTTCATCATTCTGGCAATCGTCAGACGTCACAAGGTCACCACAAGACGAGTCATAGGAAATGTGTTACATATATACATGAAACAAAACATATAAAGAATTTCAAAAGTTATCCCTACATCCCAACAGACTATGTATTAAACAAATGTTCAATGACTGTCGTCTTTGATCGCATTTAGTCACTTCCTGATAAAACTAAACATAATGGAATTGTAATCATAATAAAATAAATCGGTTTTTTTTGTTCAGTGAGCTTGTATAATAACTGAAACATTTAGCTTTTTGTAACTTTCTGAAGAGAAAATGTTGATAATTTTATGCATTGATTGTAACATACAAATATGTGTGAGTGAGTATGGTTGTAAGCTGCTCATAGCAATCTACCATCAATATGAGATTCACACACTATACCCCTGTTGGGAATCCAAACTGGGGCTTCGACCACACGAGTGTACGCGCCACCACTACCGTGACGTAATTTAAGATTAAATGGCAGTCTTAAGGTAAAACTGGAATTACATTCAAACCTTTATACTGAAATCGTTGGTAAGGAGAGTAATTCCTGTGTCTTGATATGGTACTGTCATACCCGTTCCTTGGCGATTCGGAGGTAAACATTTTTCACATAAATGATTCATTATTTAATGATTTATGTTTGTCTGCCTGGAAACGTACTTTCACCTCATTCTAATGGAGATAGGTGTGTTGTACTTTTGGA